CATCGATGAATTTTAAAACTTTAATAAAATGTACGAAGAATATATAAAAGAATATATATAATGAAATTTTCTAATAATATCAATATTACATATTTATACTATCTGCAATACTATTTGTTACATTATTCCTTTAATTTCTTCACACACAATTATGTTTTTTAAAGTATGAAAATCTTTCAAAGAAAATCGCATTTAATATTAAATGTATATTGCGCAAGTATAAATTCAATTATTATAAAATAATCTTTAATTCTTAACGTAATTCAAAGCTTGATGACATTATTAACTGCTAATGCATTATACACACACACACACACACACACACACACACACACACACACACACAATACGTGTGTGTGTGTGTATCAAAGTTCGAAAGTGAAAACCGAGATCTATATAAAATATTGATTGTGTGAAGAGAGGGTAAGACCACCCGAAAGTAACTCGTCACCCTGTGATCATGCAAATTTTTGTACACGCGTCCGCGCATTAAGCGTATAATAAAGCTTTCTGTCATTTAAATTACAGACCACACACATGTCTCAATCCAAAATACATGTGTATAAGTGTTTAAATTTCTGCCATGGTGATGCGGTTAACCTTGTTTTCGTAAAATAAAGTATAGCAAAATAAAGATTAAATATATTACTTATAATACTAAAGTACGAAAAAGAAATTACTCATTATAAAAGACACGACATTAATTATAATGACTGATATACACAGACTGCAATAAGAACTTTAATATGTTTTATTTGTATTATCTCCTTATTACAATATTTAAAATAATAAAATCAAATTTATAAAAAAAATATAAAGTAATAAAATGTAGAATAAAATAAAGAAGAATTTTTAGAAGAATTAAATTATATAAATTAATGTTTAATTTTTAGTATTTATTTATATAAATATATTATTTATATATATTATTATCTATAGATATATTTGATTATTATAGTGTATATCTCAAATATATATTATAACCGAAAGAGATTTGATCCAATATATTTATGTAAAAAGAACGTACATACTAGTATTATACATGGAAAACAGTGCAACTTGCTCGTATCCTTGAACTATAAGTGTGATTTTGTCACAAACTTTTCTTGTTCTATTTTTTGATATAAGAGCTCTTAAGCTCATCAGCAAATCTGACATTTTCGCCATGTTTCGACGCATATCGAAATAACCAACGAAATATTGCCAACGATGTTACGTAAAAACAAGTTTGTCGAATTAAAGGTAGCATGTTAAACTTTACACCCCGTTCCACATCCATGCATTATTCATGCGCGCGAGGGAAGTCAACGTACCGTGTAAATTTTCTCGCGAAGGTGTGCGGCTCTCACTTATTATCTACGAGAATTGCGTCAATCGTTTAATTGTTTTCTCTGCCTTGTTATAGAAGAATATGAATTTGACATTATGATTTCGTCGCGCGAATAGGTTTGTTCGTTTAGGTACGCATGTTTCTTTTTCTATCAGTAAGCTATTAATTTTGCACTTAAAACATAGCAATTATAGATTAAGTTTTTATATAAATTGAGTTAAATAATCATGTAAATTTATAATTTATTATTAATGGAAAAATATCATTTATCGTAAAAATATCATTTATCATTTATCATCTTGATATAAATACATGAATGTATTTGCGTGCATTAAGTAATTCACATGTATAAATAAAATAATTCGTGTGTGTGTGTGTGTGCGCGTGTGAATAAATTAAAAGAATGCTATTTTTTATTAAATTTGGGGATATATTTTTCTTTTAATTAATATGAGATTGAATTATATAATAAATAAAAATAAATTGAGGATTAATTACATAATAAAGATTGGAAATTAAAAATTCTTTAGTCAAATTTAATATAAAATTTAAGAAAAATTTTCAATTAGATTTAAATAAAGTTCTAATTAAACTAAAAGTTCAAATTCAATTAAGTTTTATGACTGAAACATGTTACATTTTTTATCAAAATTTATTATGTAAAAAGAAAAAAAGGTTATATAATGGTTACATTTTAGTTTTATTTCACGAAATACAATGAACAATTTTTAGGACATTGCTCTTTGTGAATAATGTTATATTCGATTTCTTGTTTATTGTCATAGATTCATGTGTACATATATGTACGATTGAAAAATCGTTAACATTTTCATCCAATTATTTATTCGCGGACGAGGTCGCGGAGAAACAAGATATTAAATCGGGAAAAGAAAACTGCAGTTCTCTATACAATTTTCTCGTGTACCATTAAGGTAATTCAATTTCATATCAATTCAGGATTCAATTATATACAATTGGTTCCTTTGCACAATGTACAATTTATCATATAAGTTTAATTAATTAAGCGTTAGAATATAGCATTCATTTCAAAATAAATCACTTTTATTGTATTATTAGTAAATTGCATAACGTATGTGTGTAATGCATACCTTAAAAACTGATGAATAAAATAGCAATCTATAACTGTAAATTATTTCGTTAACTTAAGTAGCTCATGAAAAATTTGAAAATGAATTTGTCATATCTATATTATGATAATGAATTGTTGTGACAACGAATTGTATGAACTTGTTATAACTATGAATCTTGTTACATTTGCTTATATCGAATTAATTAAATTAAAATATCCATATGCCATTATTAATTTTTATATATATTTATCGTTTTGTTTAGCAAAGCATTGTAAAAATTCAATTTGTATTAAATTATTTATTTTTATATTTTATTCTCACCTCTTTATTATTACTTTATATCATATTTATTAAATATTTTTACTTCAAAGTGTAGTAATATTATTTAAAAATGTTTTCTTTCTTTCTATTTGCAAATATTAAGATTTAATGTGCTAATTGATAATAACAGAAAAGTCATGTTTGATAATAATTTTAATCGCAACTGAGAGAAACATAATCCCAAAGCTTGTTTGTAATTTTAAATTCTGAAAAATAAAGATTTCATAATCTGTATATAAAGTATCATGAACTGCTCGCTTCATATATCAAATCGATTTTTTTGCGATGAACGGTGTATCTATAGCAATACATGACGTCTCTTTATTATAGAATGAAGATAGATATGTCGCCTCGGGCAATACGTTCTAAACATCTCTCTTTCGTAAGTCGTTGACTATCGTCCCGGAATGTGCTCTATATACATGATGGCAAAACTTTTGGAAAGAAAAGTGAAAGGCAAAATAAAAATAAAATGATTGAAAAAAATTAATGTATTATTATATTTTATAAGCATTTTATAAAGGAAAAAGAAGGTATTATAAGTTTTGAATTATATTTTGTATTGATTATATTATAAAAAAAGGTATTATAAGTTTTCAATTATTTTATATTGATATTATATATTACTTATAATTTAACCATTAAATTAAAGTACTCATTATTTATAAATCTTATAAGATTATTTGTTATATTAAATATAATTATTTAATTAATATTAATTAATTAGAGTTGAATAACGTTAAAAGTAATATTTTTATTTATTTAGAATTAATACACAAATATCTGATAAAGAACAAAAATTAGCAATTGTTAATTGTTTAGAATGATGTAATTATTATTAGAAAAAATTTAATATTTTGTAAAAATTCAAAGAGATAGTACATTTTAATTACTTTTACGCATAATTAACATTTATATATATTATATATTATATATTATATATATTATTTATACATATTATAATGCATTTTACAACATTAATTGATTTTATTATCTCTTACGTTTAATTTCTTAACAATAAAATGCAATTAAATAACTGCAAGTGGCGTAAATTTTTGTCATCAGAATTATTATCACAATTTTTTTGCGATGTTTTAACGGAAGTTCCGCGATTAATCATCGCAAAGTATAATTGATGTCAGGCCGGACGCAATGCACTTTTTTACTGTTGCGTTACCATAGTCTGCTAGTTGACAACCAAATATTATCGACCATCACAATCAGGAATATAAAAAATAAACAACTGCGAACTAATTACTGCATGATGTCGAGTGAATGAAATTGCGAATTATTGATTTCTCGTTCGTGCTCTGTCAATATCGGTCAAGTATGTGTACAACACAAATCAATTATGTAATCAATTATAGTATCTAACAGATTATATCTAGTATGACTTTCGTAACTTGTATAATAGATCTAAATGCTATGAATAATTTGCGTAATAAATAATAAATAATAAATATAAAATGTCTCTCTGATTGAATCTTTTAAGATTTTACACTACGCATCTTGTGTTTACGATTTTGTAAAGGAAATATAGCATAAAGACTGTTGCAGTGCGTATTCATGCGAACGCTGTAGTACTTATCTTACTCGAAAAGTTACGCAAGTTGATTTATATAGCTGATAGACAAATTATAATTTAAGCCTAAGAAAATTTTTTTCTTATTATCAAAATGAGATAATAATATTATGTGATTTTTTTTCAGCACTGAATGAATTTACAATTTGCTTATCTTTCGTATCTTACAAATGTCAGTTCTGTACAAAAAGATCTCCGATCGCGTGCTGGAATGGTTTGGTCACGGTGTCGTTCTCTCCGAAAGTGTAAGCGAAAGGTGGAGAAGAGAAAAAAGCATTCATTGTCGGATTTGCCGAGCGGCGAATTTTCGGCGCGTATTTCGGAGATCGGTGGGACACAATCGATGTCTCGAATCGAGGGCAACAAGCGTGCGGCTCGTTTAGAGAAAGGAAAGTAAGACATGGACGCGGGAGCTACACCTCCTCCTTCTTTGCGTCCGTTGCTAACTCTTCGCGGTTCTCGCTCACCTGGCGAGCATATAACATAAGATAAAATAACTTTCCTCCACTTCTCTCTCTTTCTCTCTCTCTCTTTTTTCCTCTCCTCTCCTCTTCTTCCAACTCTCCCTCTCCCAACTCCCTCCCTTTCTCATTTCCTTTCCACAAGTCAGCACCACGCTTTTAGGGAGCTTTCCACCACCAGGACGATGCACATTCTGCACTTCGATAAGGAACTGTGCGGCACGAAGGCAGGATACGATCACAAGTATCACGGTAGGTTGACGTAGTCGATCAGTGTGAGCCGCTTTAAAACAACCACCCGGGAACTAATAGTGGCGGACCGCTGCAAGCTGGTTTTATCCAGCAAGTAGAAGTAGCTGATTATTGTACAAACACGATCGAGAGAATCGTCACGCGCGGTGATTTTTTTTTTTTAAGCAATATCGAAAATCCGCTTGCAACGTTATACAATTTCCGATTATTCCTTCTTATTTGTTGCGTGTCATGAAAAAGTGTATCCCAAGAATTGTGTAAATCAACTTCAATCCAGACGACAATTTCACCGCCGCTCTTGGTCGCAAATCATTGTGAAACTTCAGCAACGTGGAACGCGTGGCAATAAAATGCACGACGAGTAAGTATAATGTAACGGAATCGCGGATTAAGGAATTCTATGGATATCGTGGGAAGTATCTTGGGATTGTTGCCAAGATGCATCGTTCGAAGAATTTTAAGATTTTCGTTTACATTTTCTTCTCAATTTTGTAGTTCATAATAAGAGAAAATTGCAGATGGCAATCCATTGACATCAATCTTGTATATAATTGTGATATTTTATATAATTGTATTGAAAAAGTATTAAAAATATAATTTAAAAACATAAATATTAAAAATATTAAAAATATTAAAAGTATTAAAAATATAATTAAAAATATAATTTTGAAATGTGTGAACTTGAACGTTTTAATAATGATGTAAAAGCGTAGATAAACTGTATAGATATAAAATATGTAGATAAACTTTTCAATCGTTTCTGTATATCTTTTACAGAAATACAATTATCTATGCATATTTGCATAGATGCAATTCTTACATAATGATACATGATATTCGAGGATGTATCAATTTCTTCGTTGCTATTCACTTTACATTATTAGCTTATAGATATAGATATTATTTCCTCCCGATATTATGTTCTTATCTCAATTTATTCACATATATAGTATCTAAGTAAATTAATAGCTTTAAAATTAACTGAAATCTAGAGTAAGATTTATCTATATCCATTTATCATACTTCGCTAATAAAAGTTGATTTGTGTCAGAACAGATAGATACTAGATCTCATACTACTTGAGTTAAATAAGGAAACGTCACTTTGCGAATAATAAGGTCTATCGCGTGCAAAACCAAATATATATTTTAATAATATATATATAAATAAGAGATTACACATTATTATATTTTATATTATATATACATATATAAAATGTGCAATGCTTATATCTAATTAGCTTACCATGTTACATAAAAATTATGAAACATGTTTTAATTTTACATAGACATGCACATATATGTGTTCTACTTTTTTGTCTTATGATAAGTGGGCCAAGGATGGATCGTGACAGTTTTAATATCACGAAAATATTACCAAAGTTAAGAATGACTAATTTCTTTTCTTTATCGTATGGAATTAATAATGCAATAAAATATAATATTTAATAAAATTAATTTTGATTTTTTAAAATTCTAAAAGATGATCTATTTCAACATGCGTATTATGTGATTAAAAGAATACAATCTTGTAATATGTTAATAAATATTTCTGACACTACATCTTTATAGCTTCCCAAGATCAGAAAAGACGTGTTCGCAACTTTAAATCTCTCGAATCATTTTCTATCAGATTTTCCGATCTCTCGAGTCTCGTGAGAAAGAAGAGTTTCTTGAGAAAAACCTCAAAAAAATGATCGTGAGTAATTATGAGAACTGGGTCGGAGTGCAAAATAGGCCGATGTCTCGCAGAAGTTGCACGTGATTCTTTTTATGTCTATCATCATCGAGCGGGTTCGTCGCGAATAGTGAAAGGAAAATCCGCGTGACATGAATCGAGAAAGCAATCCATGCTTTATTTTAATCGACTTAACAGATTTGATCTCATCACGCACGAGATGACACGCATGGTATCGGAACTTTGAACTGCACGATATGAAGATCAGATGAATGTTTCGTAATTCAAAATTGTTCTTCTCGCGTATACTTTTACTCGCTTTCGAATCCTTTCACCAAGCTAATAAATCATTTGGTTTTTAATTGTCAAATAAAATACCGGTCTGTGTGCGGTGATTCGCAGACATTCGGAACAGTCGATCACTGTCCGCCTACTTAATGGCAATTATTGTACCTAATCGAGATGCTACAGCACGATGTAAAATCGACGCAATGATGGCAGTCGATTAGCGAAGCGTATCGCGAAAGCTCTCATTATAACCTTTCGATAATTATTCCAATTTGTTAAGTTAGAGCTAATTGCATAATATACACTATTGTATTATTTGTACAACATAAGAGAGATATCGCTCTTTTTCATTTGAAATTTTATATTCAATCTTAGATTATATTATTTTAGAAAAATTTTAATAAAGTATTTTTTTATAATATTGTAATTTCAATTTTATTTCATTTGCTTTTAAATAAGTTATATATTTTTTTTTAAATGAAGTAATGGTAAAATACCTAAATATATACGGAAATAATAATTAATATATTTTATTTTCTCCATATATTTCTGTATTTCCTATATTTTCTATATCCTTATATTTTCTGTTCTATAATAATAAATCAATTTAATTCATTTTAATGTGTTGCCATATATGAAACAAATAAAAGTACTGACTTATAATATTGAATAATTTCAAAATACATTTAATTAATCGCGATGATTATAATTTCCTTATATATATATATAAGACGAATGAATGATAATTAAATTTATTAATTTGTATATGTGTGTGTGTGTCTTATATATATATATATATATATATATATATATATATATATAAGACACACACACACATATACAAATTATTAAATTTAATCATCATTCATTCGTCTACTTGTAGAATAAAGATCATTTATAATATGCAATCATACAGTTAGATATATAATTCGAAATATAAAGAAAAATGTATATGCATTTTTGTATTTTATATATTTTATATATTTTTAGTAAGTATATTGTATATTGTATTATAATTTACCAGTGTAGAAACAAAGAAGTATTGCACAATAATAGGAAACAACTTTCTTGCAACATTTTACGGTAAATTTTTTGGTGAATTTTCACTTTTCGTGCGCTTCCTGACCACTGTTTCGCACGTTCTCCGATCAGATTTCACGCGATTACGTAGGCGGAATATCAATCCAAATTGATGCAATTCATCCAAGTAAGATCAAACTTTTTCTAAAAAAACCAATCGACAATAAATAGATATTTAATCAACGAACCATGATCTATTGAAGGATTACAAAAAAGTAATTTCTCCAATCTTTTGCTTTCATAGATATTTACTTAGCATCGTAAAGTAGGAGTAGGTTAATTTACATTGAATAATATATATAAGAACGAAAAATAAATATTATTTGTTCGTAAAATTTCAGAATATAACGAGAGTATATAAGCACATGTGAATTTTTTTTTAGAGAAATAATTCAAAAGATAATATTTTGCATATTTTAAATTAAGGCTTTAAATTAAATATTCATTCTATATGTAATTAAACTAAGAAAGATAGACTAACTAAGAAAGATAATATTAGAATATCTTTATACATACTTATTTTGAAGTAATATTAGTAATAAAGAGATAAATATTTATAGAGACAAAATATGCTTTTATCATATAAATTAGCAAGTCTGTAACAAGCAGACTATTTTACAAGCATACTATTTCAGTTGTATAAATTATATTAATATAATTATACATAAGAAATAATAACATAAGAAATAATTATGTCGAAAAGTTGTATAAAAATATTGCCCTTAAAACTGTAATTAATTCCCATTAAAATCGAAATTAGCTGTTACGATTAAGATTACCGAATATATGAAGACCGGTTTCAAGTTGCGTTGCTCACATGAGTGGCATACGAGATGTATCGAAATAATCAGAAAGAATAAAAGAATTCAAATAATTTTAAATCGTTTTGATCGATTCTTTATGTGTCTACTCATTATATGGAACGAAAGGTACTTTTATCGCCATCAAGTTACAAAGCAAATGCGAATATGCGTCAATCATTTCTAACATGTTCAATGTAAACCGCATTAATGTAACTTCATGACAACCGACGATGAATGGAGTACGGATATACAGACACAGTTATTAATCTTTTATAAAGTACATTTTATTAAAAAGTTCAAAGTGGTGCAAACCCATGTTTTTTAACCACATATTTATATTATATTCTGTTATATCTTTTTTACACATGAACATATTTATTAGAAAATTTCGAAATACATATAATTTTCATAGTATATCTTCACATCAGTGCAAATCATATGCAAGTAAATACTTAATGGCGATTAATATTCAAAATCTAATTTGAAAATCAGCAAAACAATTTTTTTTTTGTAAAACTTAAACATTAAGAATAACGTTTATTATAATAAAAATATTTGAAGTAATGTTCATAACGATAATTATCGACAACATAACATTTATATTACATATACGAAATATGTATTCATTATCACGCAAGTTTATATCAAGTGCATGCAACATTATATCAAGTGCATGCTTACATATTACGTAAATCTATCGCAGAGCGTGAAATTACCAAATGTAAGATTTTTTATGGGAGGAGTCTGCGATACTTTTCCGTGTTAAAAGAAATAGCAATTATGGAAGAATTTCAACGTTTGTATTCCAGTTTCTCTGCTGCTCAGAATGTACTGAATGCAATATGCTCAAATAAGAACGCACGTACCGTGCAAGAGATATTATCAAGCTATTATGCCAGAGAACGTCCAAAGAGAATTCATCGTCATGAACTACTGAAACATTTTACGTGACTTTATGTACAGACCGATCCTACATTGAGGAAAGAAATTCCTTTATTCTTCTTATTATTGTTGTCAATAACTTTTTTTACTACTATATAAAATTATTAAACTTTTTTGATATATTATCAATAAATAATTGTAACGAGTTGAATAATTCTTTTATATTATTTTATTTATTATTTTATCGCGTAATTAAACTATCATGTAATATAAAAAAATAACATACTAATATGTAAAAGATTAAATATTCTTATTAAGTTTCTAAATATATATATTCATGCACGATTTATGCACTTAATTTTATACAATGGAATGAAATAAAGGAAGTTTTCATAATACATAATATTTTATATAGCTATGTGTCGGAAATACATCAGATTTAATAATCATATTTCCTTTATTAAGATTACAATTCTATTGGGCTTACAAGACAACCCAATCAACTGTTTAAGAATCTAAATGCATATTGACATAGTCAAATCATTATTTGAATGAATATCAAACCCAATTGTTTGCTTATATTGATACTAATTAATAACATATTTCTAATATTTTTAAAGCGTGTAATTTTTATTTCTACTGTTTTTTTATCTTCTTTCTTTATTAATTTCTATTAAAATGAAAGAGAATTGCACCTCTATTATAATATAAATTTCGTATATGTCATATTTTAAGAGAAATTTACTTTAAAGGAAATAGAAGAAACTATCAAGGCTTAATATGTAATTAACTGCTTTAATTAATGTTTGCATTCAATAAAATATAACTTGTTCGCCAAGTTTATAACTTTGCCTATTATTATGACAATGTTTATAATTTTTTGTATATATTATGCGTGAAATAAAAAAGAAATAAAAAATTATACGTCAATTAAAAAGCATTTCATTATCTCGATATAATAGTGCTGTCACTTTTCAAACAGATGTCAGATTAACAAGATGCAATATCGTATATAAATGATTGTCATGATTTAAGACAACATCAAGGCGGCCTTTTGCACGATACTCTTTGACGTGAGAGAGATAATTGTTTGTGCGGAAAATGTTGCAGATTCGCGATAACGCGGATGCGATCCGCGATAATCGGATCGCTGCTGCTGTTGGTAACGGCATATTGCAACGGGTTGCAATATCAACCTTTTGACTCTTATGCAAACGGAGAGGAGTGCGCTTTGATCCTGGATGCTCGCAGTAGAACCAGCGTTTACGACTACACCTATAATTTACTTCGCGGGTCGTTGTAAGTATTCCCATTAAAATCGAATATATGAATCTCGATAGCGATCTTAATTTAGCAAAAGTCAATTCGAAGGTAGACGACGTGTTTCTTCGATAAGTAACTGGTAACTTCGAGAAATAACTGGAGTGAACGTTCGTAAAGTAAAATTGCGTTATCTGTGAATTTTCGCGCTTCATTAATATAATAAGTAAATCATATTTTTGTTATTCATGACCGATTATCAAGCTTTATTTGATGTTTATTTTATAACGAATTTTTTATAACGAATTTATTTTATAAAGAAGTGCCGATTTAATCAGGACAGTCTGCATATATTTATCGTTCAATTAACATATATTTAATTATTGTGTATTAGTCAAAATTATACGTGTAATTATTAATCGCTGATTATCGCTTAAGCGCAATATTACTTTCCATTGTGCTGCCGATTACAAAAGTATTATAAAAGTATCACGTCCTATCAGTTAGATCTATCCTAGATCTAATGAATACATTGTAAAAATTAGAAAATATACAATTATTGTCTCATTATAAGTGTTCATCAACTGCATCGAAACTTATTATATAATAGAATCCTCATCTGACATTCTAAACTTTAAAATTTAAAGGATTAGAGAAAGCAGGAACTTTAACCGTGCAACCAGGACTTTCACTATCATCCTGTTCCCACAGGAGTGATGATTTCTAATGCATTCTTACCGGTTTTCTATACATACAATTGCACATATGTACACTGAAAAAAAGTAATGTTGGATTAACAACATCAGTGTAATTGGAATTTATTTTATTAATTCAATAATATCATTAATCAAATCAATACATAGTATATTGATTCTTCTTCTTTTTCAGTGTATAATATATTTTACGCGGATGTATTCGAGTCGAAGATTATTCGCGTATTTATAATATAAGATATAACTAGATAAAGATCGTGCGCTTTTTAGAGTTGAAATTCACTTTATTTTTAATCTATATTTTTTCATACTATAAATTTGAAAAGATTTTGATTTATATAAGAAATATTAAATATTAAATATGATTTATATAAGAATTATATTGCACTGAGAATTTTCATTTTGTACCTCAAACAGGCAATAAATACAAACTTTCTCTTTTAAAAAAACTTTCGGTAAGACTAAATTAAATAATTTTAAAATAAAGTGATTTGACTACTGAAAATATCAAATAAATGTTAAAGTGAATATATTAAGATCGAAAGTAACAAACAAATTTCAATTCGGTTTACGATCACCGTAAAATACGCTTTCCTCGAACTTTTAAAAGCGGTCATTGCAGGCAGGATCGCGTTTATGGTATTGAGTCGTAAACGCATCATGTAACAAAAGTGACAGTTACGTGTCGCGGTAAAGCCCGCTCTGTCTCATTTATTGCCCGTGTAGAGAATTGTATTTATCACATCATATCGCAGTAATCTTCGCGTCCAGACACCTCGTGCAAAGCAATATGAAACCTGTGATTATCTACCGTTTTTCGCACTCAACAACTGACGAGACGGCCGTACTTGCTCTCATGAAATCTTCATAAGAATCGAATCCGACTGAAATATTCATTATGAAGGTTACAGTTGCGGTTTATTTGGGCAGTGAAAATTGAAAAAAGGAAAGTTTTTTTAGCGATCATCAAAATCAACTTAACGCACATTCATCACCTCTTATTCTTGTAAGAAGAAGTTGCGTAAAAACTCGCAAAGAAAAAAATATGATAATTGTTTAAATAAAACTCGTTAATATTCTTTTTCTTTAATAATATATAACTCAATATAATATTCAATCGTTATATCGTAACCATAATTGTAATCGTTCAAGAAATCACTTGTTAATTCCTCGTTCGTGCAACAATGTGCGATGACGTCTTCTGCTTCCTTTCATTCCTTTGCGCTAATTCCTTACATTCTTATTTCGATAAAAAAATGTATTTAATTAGCGCATAATTAATTACAATGTGGCTTTTATAATAACGGCGTTAAGACACCTTTACATGTACCGGTTTAGATAGGCAGATTTGCACAAGTACAAACGGCGGCGATTATCTTATCTATTCATGCATACGATTAAGCTTATATGCACGATAATCTTACTGCCGTTAATTGAGCTTTCTCAAGGCTCGCCACTAATGAAATACAAGAGGTATTATGATAAAATCGCTTTAAACTGAATTGCCAAAGATCGTGATAACCAAAATAGCGTGATAACAGCTTTACTACGAAGAGAGATTAAAATCATATGTCACTGTTTTTAATTACATTATCATTGTTCTTTTAATTCCACGCGTCTTTGTATTTAAATAGTTTGCATAAACTAAATTTATTTTAAAGTTGTAGAACGTGTTTTCATTTGAATATATTGTCTTCTAAATATTATTATTCATAAAAACATTAAAAATAATTAAAATTAATTACTATATGCTTCATGTAAAATTATACCTACAGCGAAATATAAGTAGTTTATAATTCTGAAGTCTAATTTATCGAAATCTTTAAAGAGATACCCAACTTTTCTGCAAAAAAAGAAAGTGATTTTCAATTTTAATTTATTCCTTGAAAGATTTGATAAAAACCGAAGCAACTGCTTTTACTTATCTGACAATAAATACATGAAAATATAGAGTTAATAGAATTAATTTTTAATTTTTTAATTAATTAATTATTTTATTTTATTTATATATATATATATATATATATATATATATATATGATTTCTTTCTTTTTTTTTAAATATATTGTTACACTGCATAAATATTCAGAGATAGAATTTAATATATGCAGAAAAGACAAAAAATCACGCATTGCAATCATACAACGAATAAATTAATAGCTTTCCAAATAGTTACTCAATAAAATCAAAAGTAAATATAGTCAGGCATTCGCATACGCAAGTCGCGTGATCTGTGTCGACCGTTTAGGTAGCCGATACGACATTGTAACGCCGTCCGATTAGCGATGTCACGCACCTACTTCGTTGAAAGCGCTCGGAATGTCAAACAGGTGCCCGGGGACACGATATAACGAGAGACGCAATTGCACCGCGAAACGATACCACCGATCTAGAGATCGAAATTGTGCGCGCGCTGTCGGCTGTGAAAGCGAGTCTTGATAATGTTTCGAAAGAATTGCACTAAAGAGTGCAAAAAGGAGAAACAAATTCGATGTGCGAAATGATGCCTTGTAACCGTCAATCTCTGCTCGAGACTTACTTGAGAATATGATCCGCGAAACGATCGCGTGGCGGCAAGAAAGGCGGATTATTCTCGATCGCTGGATACCTTCGCGTTGCTCGCGACAACGTGATTATTAAATGCATATTAAAGTACAAATGCCGTGAGCTGTAAAATGTAATTTATTTGTATCGAGAGAAAGAAAAAGGTATCCCTCCCCGGCTTGGCGTAACTCGCATTTATCATCGGAATGGGTCTACAGCAGTTGCTCAGACCAGTTATGGTAAGTGCATCGATGCACGGCATCGTCATAAAATGTTTCCGTTATTATTATCGTCAGTTGCAGCATAATCGAAGCACTCGATCGCAATTAGACGCAGGAAACTGTCTCTCTCTTTCGTCTTCTTTCACTTTTGTATCTTAATTATTTTATGATTGATAATCCGCATGATTTGAATTAGATTTTTACAACGTTTCTGTCGAGCTTGAAATAAATATTGATGTACTGAGGTTTTAAATAAATTAAAAAGTCGAGTTCCCGTTATGCTAAGTATGGTGCTCGGTGAACGGAATTTAATTGTACGGTTACGTGACGATATTTACGTGACGACAAAGTACCGTATCAACCATATACGATGTCAAGCATGTGCGATACACGATACAAATAATACACGCTAATTATTTATTTTACAATCGTTTAACTTGGAATATTTTTAAAAATTTTTGAATTTATGGTGGAGATAAATTTGCATCTTAATATTAATATATAGAATTTTAAATCGGGACTAAAGAGAGATGCTATATATTGAGATGCGACTGCATTAAGCTGAGTCAAAGATGAGTATATGATGGGGAGAAACGCGTAAAATTGCTTCAATCAACCTTCTGCAACGTGCCATGAATGGCATGTCAATGTCAGTATATTTCGCGTTGCAAACAGGATATGAAAGTTAATTTAGCCGCACTCATAACAGAGCACGTTTAGAATATATTTAGAATGTTTCGGGTTACCTTGATATGAAATATTTGCATTTATAAAAACTCTCGTCCGTCTCGAGCAAATCTCGCGCAAGGCTTTCGAGAGTGTCGGCTTCTCAAAAGTAGGCTACAAATATTAAGTAATTAACCCGGATGGAGCAGAGAAAAGCGGAATGAGGGGACGGGCTGCAAATAATACCCGCACTGAAAAAGATCGAGCATGCGTCAACTTTCATCCTTATTCTTTCGCAGCCCCACCACGGGAGGAGTTCAAACCTGTATCACGTACGACGCCGTAAATCATGCTTACGTCGAGGCGAGGAAGCGCATTAGTGAGTGTATTAAGTTTCATTTAAAAAATTAATTGCGCGCTGTGTCCACATATAATTCATCGTCGATGATGATCAATATTAAGTGTCGTTCGCATAACCAGTTCGATATACAAAGTGGCCCCGAACGTTCCAGTCAGACTTTGAGATTTTATAGGAAATTTAATTCTAAACAAAAAATTTCGTATAAATATGAGTCGAAAAATGCTTCCTTAAGAAGTTATCGCTCAAAAACCTCTGATGAAGAAAGAGCAAAAAGTGAAAAGAAAATGAAATAAAAAGAAAATGAAACTAAATAAATTTCTTGAAAAAAAAGATAAAAATAAAAAATAAAAATCTTTTTCTTTTATGAAAATAAAATAATTTTTTTTTAACTAACTTTTATTTTATTTTATTTATTATAGGAAATTTTTTGTTCAGAATTAAATTTCCTATAAGATCTCAAAGTCTGGCTGGAACGTTCGGGGCCACCCTGTATAAATTCACGATCGCTATACATCGATCTCTTATATCGTTCTTCAATCCCTCATCTCGACATGTCATTCATGTGTAATGTGTGTAATCGTTGCTCGTAGACGTCGCGAGACCAAAGTCGGAGGTATGGCGACCGGAAGATCTGGCGACAGTCGGCGAACTGCTTCTCGACATTAGCACGAATCTCGCGCAAACGTAAGTCTCCCTCAAGATAAATCTATGTAATGCTCATGACAGGATTTCTCCCTCTCCCTCTCCCTTTATATCACGTCATTTTCTTTCTCTTTTTCTCTTATTCCTCTTTGATGCTATTTTTTAATCTAGATATGGACTGACCTACGAGGAGATAGAAAAAAGTCTGCCACTGATCGACACCTCGAAGACATTGATCCGCGAGATTTGTCCTGCTTTTTTGAGCAATGTGGAATGCAGGCCGGGCAAGTATCGCCGATATGATGGTCTTTGCACGAATTTGCAGAATCCCACATGGGGAGCTACCTTGTCGCCTTTCGCGAGGTAATTATGATCTTTCTGATTTTCTTCAATATGAGAGATAAAACGCTACGTCTCTTTTGCTTCTTATTCTTACAGATTGATGAGTCCGCAATTCGCGGATGGCTTATCAGCGCCAAGAATATCCATAACGGGTAATAATCTACCATTGTCTCGAGTTGTATCGCGCACCATGCATCCAGACGATGGTTATCACGATCATGCTGGTACAGTTATGGTTATCGCGTGGGGACAGTTTATGGATCACGATTACACTTTAACTGGCACGCCTCTAGGTATTATTCATTCATTATTTTCTACCACAGTTGCTGATTTTAATGCCCGCATTGAAATTATTACACTTCCGTTAGAAGCATTTCTCCGAGATTGATTTGATTATTAATGAGATACGGAGAACTACATTTAAATAAACAAATAAATAAATAAAAATTCATAATTTCCTGATATATGATTTGCAATAAAGTGAAGAAAATTAATTAAAATAATTTAATTAACTAATTAATTAAAAGGCCAAGTTTTTTAGATAATCGTATAAATAGATATATCTTTAAAAACAAGAGTTAATGTATTAAAAAAATTCGAAGTTGTATATACATATATATATATATATACATATATATATATATACATATACATATATATATATATATATATATATATATATAACTTCGAATTTTTTTAATACATTAACTGAATGTGTTTTATGATTTATCATTTATCTATTTCTTTAGAGTATAACTATATAAATAAATTAATAATTAATATAGTATTTAATTTATATATATATATATATATATATATATATATACATATATTAAATTAAATTAACTAATATATTTACATACATATACAGTAATATATATACATATATTAAATTAAATTAAATAATATATTAATTATTAATTTATTTATATAGTTATGCTCTGAAGAAATAAATGATAAATCATAAAATATATTCAGTCACTAATACGAAATCACTAATACCACAAAAGTTTTTCAATGAAAGAGAAATTCTAGTATAAAACATTAATACATGAAACTTTAATTTAATACAAAAAATGATTAGATAGAATTGCAGTTTACGTTTCAATGAGTACTATTATTTATTGACTATGAACAAAAAGAGAATTTATCGAATATGAATAAGAAAATGATTCTTCAATGTATATAACATCATTCAACCGTAATATACATATAACGAATCTTAAAGAAAGCAACAACGAAAAGTTGAAACGATATTTTCGTTAGCCCATATTCTATGATTGAAGTCTGTCCATTTAATCATGCAACTAGAATAGAAATTAGAAAGCGATTCTCAGCGGACTGATTGCTCATATTGCGTCGAAGTAACTGTATCGAGATATTTGATATATGCTCTCGCGCGCACATCGTAGGTCACTCGCTCTCGTAGGAGGCCCTTCCACATTTACCTTATATCGAAAGGAGGGTAACTACAAGAGAAAGCGAACAATCATTGCTCGGATAAACCAATCACTAATCATCATGTCTGTCGATGACGATTTCCGAACAACGGTCATCGATTTGAAACTACAACGTTGCAAATCTGTCAATCAGAGTTGACAAACCGCTGACTTGTCATCATTACTGAGAAACAAATGCAATAATTTTACATTAATTATTAAATTGTTCGAAAAAGAGAATAATTTGAAATGTAATGCTGAATATTATATCGCTCCTCAGGCGATTCTACGCATGTATGCGTTTTCTATAGGAAGATAATTAATCGACAACGTCGATTTTCCTTTCGTTTAACAATAAAACACGTTTGAGATTACGACAGTCGAGGGAGAAATAGTCGACGTAATCCATTCAATCGCAAAAACTTCGATATTCCCTCGGTTCGCCGCAATGCGGAATATGTAAGCGTGCGTAATAGAAACGTGCTATCGCTCGCTGCTATCATTATGTATTGATCATCGGATTTGCAGATCCCTTGAACCGAAACGACCCGGAAGAATGCTGCGGCCGGCCACCGCACCTGAAGAATCCTTATTGCAATGAGATCCTCATACCAGAAGATGACTATTTCTACAGACTGTTCAACGTGCAATGCATGAACTTTGTTCGTGCTTTTCCTGCCGTTCGACCTGGTTGCCGTCTCGGTTCCCGAGTGCCTTTCAATCTTCTTACAGGTGTGCTGGATGGTAATACTGTTTATGGCATCACGGAAGCTTTCGCTAGGTAAATCGCAGTGATTTGTTTTCACTTTAAATACTAATAGAAAATTATTCCAAGTATTTATGCAATGAGAAACGCGCACTGTTGATCAAATTTACATAGAAGAATCTAAGATAAATATGAAAATTATAATTATGTCAACTTTTAAACAACGTATATTTAATTAGATTCGATTAATTTAAGATTCGATTTTTGCCTTACTAAAAATGTGATCCTTCAAATAAACATTTTAATTCGTCAATTATAATATTATAATATTCACCAAATTTTTTCAATTCATAAATTATAAGTATATATTATTTATAGAAGAAAAAGAATAAACTTGGAATAGCTGGTATATAAATGTGGTATATTTAAATAATTATAGCAAAAAAAGATTTGAAGAATACATTATACGTAAATATTTTATAATGATATAAAAATGCATGAGAAAATTTATCAATCATTAATTATTCTCTGAATAAATCAAATATGAATTTTTGCTTATACATATATTTGGTGAACCGGACTTTATTTTATCTTTAAATATATATATATATGTAAATCTGTCATCGAAAATATCAGCATTGCATTGCTTTATTTTTTCCAACACAGATGTGCTTTCAGTTCTTCGCACTTTCTAGTATGTAACACGGAATGCGATCTACAAATCTCTATCTTTACTACCCTCACGATCCTTCGAGACATCATACATGCGTACATACACACACACACACACACACACACACACACACACACACACACATATGTATATGATCTGCTATGTATATTTCCTGTTTCTAATAAGTAATATATATCTTTCTTTCTAAATTCATATAAATATGATATATTACATTCAAATGCAAAATAAATTTAAGAACGCGCTCGTTAAATTTCTGCAATAATTTCTAGAAAAGATTCTTGTTCTAATCTTTTAAATTATTTCGAAGAAAAAGGGAAATGTTTTAGAAATGTTAAATTGTAATAACTTTTGTGTGATAAATCTTTTAAATTTAAGAATCGTATATACATAACATTCTAAGAAGAGAAAAAGATATATTTGTGTGAAAATAAATTTCAGAATTGCAATACACAATATTCTAAGAAAAGGATATATAATTGTGCGATATGTGTATTTTTATTTTATTTTTCAGAAAACTCCGAACAGGCTATGGTGGATTATTGCGAATGAATCCAGTTTTTTCAGAATATGGCCTTAAGGATCTATTGCCACTGAAGTTAGATATACCGGATGAAGGATGCACTCGACCAAACCGATCGATGTATTGTTTCGAAGCTGGTAACTTACATTTTTTATTAATTAAAATATGCAAAAGTAGAGTAAGAATATTCTAATAAGAATATATTTTTTCATAACCATTGATGTGTGTATTAAAACTAAGATTTAAAAAATCGAAACTTGAATATTAACACATATTAAATATTTTATAAAACATTGAAAATTAAAATGAATAACAATTAATATTTAAATATAATATTTCAAAAAAGAAAAATATATAACTTAAAACTTATTAATATTAATCACATTAGAAAAATGTTTTTATTATTAAAAATTATCTTCTAAGGAAAAATTACTTTCAAAAATTCCATAATTATTTTTTAAAATCCGTGATGAAAAAAAATATTCAATTGTAGAATATCTTGTCTGTAATATTCTGTAATATTTTCTAATATTTTTCCTCGTATCATGTAACAGTTATTGCATACTTGATATATTATAGATGGTGATCGTGACAAATCAATTGCTTCATTATTATTTTAGACCGACACTTTCATAAAGTAGTAAGCATAGCTTTAAACTGCAGCATACAAGCGCGCGGGCGCGGACTATTAGGTCAATTGTACTCATTTGAATTTACAATGAGCGATACATGAGTCACCATGAGTCGAGTAATGTAACCGTGCTAATGTAACTATTCCAATTTCTGCCGATTTTTGCGTGTCCGATGATACAGACAATGGAGTAATAAGTCACGCTCGTTACTGCCTTCTTGCGCGGCGCCGCTTACTATCTATGCTTTCTCGAGATGGCCGTGATCGACGGCCTAGATCGCCCTATAATTTTGCCCAGCACCCACGTCTTTCTCTTTCTCTTTCACTTACTCGCCCAGAAATTATTTTCCCACGTCAATCCGTCAATTATTCGGGAAACCTAACGGCGACATACACTGAATCCGATTGGATATTCGGTGAGACAAGACAATTCGATGGTGGCGATAATTGTATGCACTTATCACGCGTTCATAAATCCTATAAATCATAGGTACCTGAATCCGGAATATAGACAGAAGCAGGCTGAGCCATAAATCTCTCTCGAGTCAATCGTATGTATTCGTGTGGGCATCTCACTCATACCCTGTATTTACATTAATCGCGTGTTACGGAAAAATCAATCGCTGCTGAAAATTGGCTGTTATTATTTCAGTTTTTGTTTTTTTCGGACAGTATATGTAATTGAGTTAATGCTCGTTTTAACTATCAACGGTAGGCATCATACCTATATCGCATGATTTACGTCGAACGATACGACGTGGGTGAGAAAGGAAACGGTTGCAATACAAGGACATCAACTTCTATAAAATTGAGAATACTAAGACAAAAAATCGGATAGTCTGCGAGATGTTTCTTATTCTATTTGTTGATATGCAAGGATTTATAATTTATGCAACCATACTGTTGCACAATAATTTAAATTCTTATATTTATTTATATGAATTAAATTTAGTTTATTGCTTGTATATTCCAATTATTACCAAAGTTTATTACCAAAGAAAAATTTAAATTAATTTTTTTCCCTCAATTTAAATTCTTTGCCACACGGAAAAGATGCATGAAATCAGTAATTTATTATTTCCATTTTTAACACAAAAATACAACGTTGTGATAGCAAAGTTATTATGCTTGGAAACTTTATTATCCAGACATCTCTTCAATTAGATCTGAACTAATTAAAGTTACTCGGTATAATAGTTAATAGATTAGTAAATTGATATGTTATCGGAGCGTCCGACAGAAATCATAATTTATGTGTTCTTTATAGTGTAGAATAGACTGCCGTCACAGTGCAAAATGCATTATGCAACGGAACTAAAGAATTACCTGGTTTGTGAAAGTATCGCGAGTTTATTATCTTCGATCGTATGTGAGAATTAATCACCTTTTTAAAATTCCAAACAAGCTTAATATCAGTCATCTCTGTCCTTTCAGGTGAGATTCGTGTGAATGAGCAATTGGTACTCACCTGCATGCACACTTTAATGGCACGGGAACATAACCGGCTCGCCAAAGCGTTGGCCATTGTGAATCCGCATTGGGACGATGAAATTCTCTTCCAGGAAGCCAGACGCATCGTCATCGCGGAAATTCAACATGTCACTTATAACGAGTTCCTCCCGATATTACTCGGCAAAGATGTCATGGAGAAATTTGGACTTCTCCTCGAGAAAGAGGTGAGTGGTTGACGATCCTGAAATAAACAGAAATGCATGTTTTTTAGTTCTAATAATTATCACAGTTATATATTGTAAAAGTAATTTTACTTAGACTAAATAAATATTCGTATAATTATTATACAAATAAAAATTTGTAACAATTGATTGAAATTTAATAACATATGTTTATTTTCAAACAGCCATAAATAAATAATAATAGACGCGTTGACATTAAAGTTTTATTTTTTTTTTTGCAGAATTACTGGGACGGATACGATCCGAATATAAATCCAGGTGTAATAGACGCTTTTGCTGCTGCTGCTTTTAGATTCGGTCACTCGCTATTGCCCACGGCTGTAGAACGATGGAGTAAAGCTCACAAATTTATTGGTAAGCGATATTACACAACAGAATTATATTGCATACAAAATGTATCAGAAACTTTTTTCAGTTTGTAAATATATTGTCGATAAAAATGAATAAACAAGATTTAATTTTACAAGAATTTTCTAATTATTTAGAATTTTTCGTTAAATCTAATTACAAATATTTATTTTTAGCCTCAAAAAGGTTGTCAGATTTGATAAGACGACCTTACGACTTGTATCGCGCTGGTGTGCTCGACGAATATTTCATGGGATTGATGAATCAAGTTGCTCAGGCTATGGATGATTCCATAACGCAAGAAGTAAGATAAACAGTGATAAGTATTAATAAAATATGCAATTATGCTATATTATACAACTTATATTTTACAGGTAACGAATCATTTGTTCAAAAAAGCAGGGGCAAAATTCGGATTGGATCTGGTGTCTTTTAACATGCAACGTGGTCGTGAGTTTGGTATTCCAAGTTATATGGAGTTCAGGTGAGCAAAATTATTAAAGATTAACTTTTATTTCTACCGATCATCTTGTTTAAATACTAACTGTAATTGCACATCTATATTTCATGTAATTATAATCTTTTATACTTAAGTAAATATATAATAAATATATAATAAATACAAAGGATAAATGTAACTGAAATATAAGATGAATGTTAAAATTTACTAAGAGTGCTAGAGAAAATTATAAAATTAAATGCTTCTTAATTGGTAAAAATTAGTACAGCAGTCAAATATATTATTAAAATATATTATTGAACAAAGTTTTGAAATGTAACTTAGAAAAAAAAGAAAAATATAATAAAATACGCTAGTACTAATAAATGCGTTAGAGAATTAACTTTAAACGAAAATCGATCATAGATTATACTTGACCATAAACAGATAATTCAAGTGCAAATAAATAAGAGATTATTTATTGCACTTGAATAATATATGTACTTTTTTATATATGTGATTTTATAATTCCAGAAAATACTGCGGCCTTCCTGAAGCGAACACTTTCGAGGAATTATTCGGTTCCATGCCGAATGAAACCGTCAGACGTTACAGCACTATCTTCGAGTGAGTATAACATGTCTGCAAAGAGCGCCAGCGGCGAAAACCTTCGGAAAGATCGATCGATCAAGTTTTGCATCTCATTACTCACAATCAGTTAGTGGATCGCACGGCGATCCTAAATATAGCGTATTCAAAAGTAACGGATTTATCTCGACCGCGCTCCTTTTCAGACATCCCGCAGACGTCGATTTATGGTCAGGCGGCGTATCCGAAAGACCACTTCCGGGTAGTATGCTCGGGCCAACCTTCGCCTGCCTGATTGCCACGCAGTTTGGTCATTCGCGTCGTGGTGACAGATTTTGGTACGAGTTGCCGAACCAGCCATCGTCCTTCACTCTCGGTGAGAAAGAACCCTTTCGAATCCGTGGGAGTCGCGCGATTCAAGGACTTAATCGATAATCGATCGGAATATAACGAAGCGAGATTGTACCTTCTAAAACAGCGCTCGCTTTCACTTTTCTAGAGCAACTGAACGAGATTCGAAAGACAAAGCTCGCCAGATTGATTTGCGATAATACAGATCTTATCGATACGATACAAATCTATCCGATGGTCCTTCCCGATCATGAAATGTAAGTGAATATGATTTATACTGTAATGTGTAATAGAACGATGAGTCAACATGAACAACTTGTCAAACATAAAATATCGTGAAATTATAAAAATAAGAAATAATGAAAAATATTCTAATTTATAAATATAAAAAAATGTGAATAGGAAATGAAAAAAATACTTCAAATTCACGTTAAAAACATTACAGCTCTACTACATTCGCTATAAAAATGAAATTTATAAAAGAATATTATTGTTTATTCTTGTTCATGTATTATTGCATTATATTATTGTTATTATTTTTCATTTATATTATATTTTATTTCTATTATTTATTTTATTTTTTTGTATTTTATATCTTATTATTCTATTAACAAATTAAAATCTATTTATTGTACTTGTTGTATATTTTGTTTAGTAGGATGAATAATTTTTCGCTCTAATTTGCCCCATTATAAGAATTGATTTTTAAAAATAATTAAAAACCGAACTTTTACAATTTTGTTGCAACAGAAATCCTCGAGTCCCGTGTCGAAGTGGTATTCTACCCAGCATCGACTTATCGAAATGGGCTGATTTCCCGGCGACGAGTCACGCCGCACAATACGTGAGTAATTTAGCAGGCCAGTACGGGCAGTTGGGGAAATAAAAATGGGTCTGTTCCACCACTCTAGAAATAAACAGAGTGCCTTTAAGCGAACACCACCATGTAATCAACTGAGTCACGAGCCAAGAAGCCCAACCCTTAGGCACTCTAACCCGAGACCATCCCGTAGGCATGCACGTGTTGAAGTAGAGCAAACAATTAAATATATTAAGAATTCACTTTTAAATCAAAAGAATCAATTAAATCATCTAGAGTAATGAAGAAGCAGAGTTGGCCAGTGTCGATCATATTTGATCCACCGTTTGATAATTTTGATTCATAAATGATTATTGATTCATAAATAATTTATGATACTTGATAATAACTCATAAATGCCGATGCAATTGTGTCATTAAGATAGCAAGCTTCGATTTAAATTGTATGATACAGATTGATTAAGTAAAAATAACGCGTTACATCGTTGTCGATCCTGGACAAATGAAAAGGAATCACTTTAGATTTTTCACAGTAATCCCTTTAAAACAAAATGTACATATTCTTTTCCTGATAGAAACTCATTATATTTCATCTACACTGCCGTACAAGAACAACAAAAATATCGTAATACATACTCGTATATTCAGAAATTTACTTCAGTTCTCAAATCAAATGCTATTTATATGTTATTTTATTTCTTTTTTTACATATACAAAAATTTCGTGCGACTATTTAATACTATAGTTTTTATTACAATTTAAATGATACATATAATTACACAAATTTTAATATAATAAAAAAATTAGATTTTTTCTTTTGTAATTTTTATATAAAATTTTTCATTATTTTATTTTATTTCAGTGTTATATTTATAATAAATACTTAGTAATTTTTAGCTATGCTAAGATATCTGCAAATATTGCATTTTATTTGTATTGCACTTGGCAGATTACACTTAAATATTTAAATATTTACCATGAAACTTGACTATAGTTTGTACACTGTTAAGTCACGTACATTGATCATTGGATTGCGTTTAATTTAGCTTATTATCGAAATTTTTATTAACATCAACATGTTTTTAAAATGATATATTTGAACTTTTTTTTACTCGCCATATAATTCTTTTATTTTTATTAATAATATATCATATTCAATAATACTGTATAACTACACAATATACATTCTGTATATAGTAAATTACAATCAAATCGAATTATTTTTTGCACATAACTACCTATTATATCCTCTTAGCGTCGCGGATCACTGTAATATTTAGCTGTGCTTAATATCTAGTCTCTTCAATACTATTGTGGGATAAATGCATCTTGATTTTTCAATCGAAATAAATTGAAAAAAATAATCATTTTCGTATTTTATAATTTTTAAAATAAATGAAAAATATTTTTGTTTAATATAAAGATTTTCTAAAAAGAACTGGAACTCTTGTTTCTGGAATTTAATACAAAGCGCGATCATTTGACTATGTACTCGATTACAATTGCGAATAATGTATTTGTGTAAGAAATCCTTTTTAAACTCTTCTTATCCAAAATATTGCACAATTTATTATATGCAAAATTTGTAAGTGCCATTTTCCTAAATATAATACTTTGAACAATAAAACTTTTCATTATCATTTTATTTTATTTTATATTTGTGTATATGTTTTTCATGTTTTCACATTATTGATTAGGAAGCAACTCGACATATTATATACAGATATTATAATTTATTACAAATGCAATGCGATGTGAAGGAATGCAAAAACATTTTCTTTTTTTTTTAGAAATATTTTTTTCATTCTTCTTAGTGCTATTAAAATGATTTTTTTTATTAATAGATAGTACCTCACGTCCAATTTTTTTTCTCTGTAGCATAAAATTAATATGTCGAATTTAGTTTAGCTTGTTCACATTATTTTTTTGTTTTTTATTTTACACAACCTGTGCACGTGCACTCGCCCTCAATATCCAACATCGAGACCAGGTAAAGTATATCATATGCGCGGATATATTTTTAAAGATAATCGCATTTGTTCTAAAAAATATGTGACTGTATAGTATGATTCTAATATCACACCCTATTTCCCCATCAACTGCCACACATGCACATTAGTATCTACAATTGCCTATTGTACTATAGCCATGGGTGGAGGAGCAATTGCTTGACACGTCGGGAGATTCGATGAAACCAGCGATACGGGAATACTACGACAGAGAGCAAGCTTCTCGAATCTTCTTTGAGAATATTAACGGCATTGCTTCGTATCTGGGCTTCACGAGAAAGTAACCGCAGAACACCGCAAGAAATAAACGACTGATCGTAAAATATTCATCGTCTTCATACTTCATTATAAGGTGCTATCTAAAGTGCATCACACGAACATAAAAATACGGTTGATCCGGCATCCATATACACATGTGTATGTATGACAAGATGTATACTGTATAGAAGTAGATATTTGCGAAATATCTTTTTTAAATTGAGAGGCTCGATAATAAGAATTTAGATATTTCTAATAAAGATTTTCCTTTTTTTATCCGTCTAACAAAAATATAAAAATATAAAATATAAAAATATAATAAAATATTTAAATATTTATAATGTTAACTATAATAATTGAAATAAAATTATCTATAAATATAATATAATAATACGCGGAATATCTATCGCTTTAATAATAAAGATTGAAGTTGAGTCAATTATCAAATAATAAATTATTTTTTATATTAGTGCTTTATAATTATATACATGTAGTAGTAATAATTTATATTTAATAGTAATAATTTCCACGCACATAATTTATATATGTATTGTATATAAAGAGCTCTCTCTCTCTCTCTCTCTCTCTATTTTTTTTCTGTCTTAAACGATAGTTTTCTTTTCATGCATTAATGCAATATTATAAATTATGACCGATAAATTATTTCTGCATACACATATGTATTTACTTCAGCAATATATCAAAGTGATATAAAATTTAATTTTTATTTGTCAACGATAAGTTTGCGAACAAATAAAAATATGTTAATAAAAAATGTACAATATTTTATACGATGCTTAATTATTATTTCAAGTATTATTGTGACGAGCAAGATGTAAATACACGTAGTTACTCGAAATTTGCACAATGTTGATCTTTCTTGCTCCATACGTTTAGATGAATTTATAATTGAATCGTGTATTTTCTATGCCACTGTAATGACACACACGTTATCAAATGTATTAGTTATTATTTGTATTTTGTACGTAATTATAATTAAATAATAAAATCATCATAATAAGAGTGCCATTTATAAAGCTGTATCTATTTTTCTGCATTACCTTCGATCTGTGAAATAGAAATTGTATATAAATTGATAGAATTAAAGATGATAAAGCACATAAAGCTATGCTCATGATCAATTAAAATCAATAGCATTGTAATAATGGAATAATATAAGCTTGTAATATAATTTTATTTTATCTTTAACACAATTATATAATAAAATGTATGAAATAATTAATATTATAAAAATATGTTATAAAATAAATAAGAACAAAAGTTAATATTTATAATAAGTTTAAATAGAAATTATTTAAGCGCATTTTTAGTATCTCGTTCGATAATAATGGTTTAGACAAATAATAATTATTTATACATTTTATTATTTATTATTTAAATATATATTGTATAAAATATGTAACATATAATTAAACTGCACAAATAGTGAACGTATTATTATTTTTTATTTAAAAAATTTATTATTATTTTGCTTTTTTACTTGTAATTTATAATGTTAGAGGAGTATATTTATTTATTGCTACTAATTATAATTCGATTATTTTCAGGATGCTATATTAAAAAATTCTGCAAAAACTGCATCAGAAATTAAAAACGTATTACAACAAATATATATTAATAAATTTAATCATAAATCAAAAGATTCCTTCATGAAAAAATATACAGCAAATAACTTAAAAAAGAAACCGAACAAACTTTGGTGGGCATATCCATATAATGCTAAATCAAAAATATTTCAACAAAGTTTAGAAATGCCTCAAAAAATGTTACGAGTGCAAGAAAAATCTGTAAATGAACAAATTATATTACCCTTTCCTATAAATGATCAAAATAAAAATATAAATCTCTCGCCTGATATGGAGATTATAAAAATTACAACGATTGTTGAGGCTATTCGGCAAAAGAGGAAAAGAAATGCGCAGATATCAGAAACAATACAAAATATACAGGAAATAATTGGAAAGAAACGTTTGAAACGTTCGCCTCGCGAATCGGGATATAAATCGATGACTACGGATTCACGGCATGATCAAGAAAAGAAAACTTTCACTTTGAACAAGCGAGCTCGTTATCCAAAATCTCATCGGGATCAACAAAAGGAGTCTTTGCCAACGAGAAAACGTGCAGTTGATCTTAAAATAGCGAGCAACATTGCGATACCAAGTACTGTATTTTATAAACGAATTTGGGAATACATTAATGGTACTCGTCCTCATTCCGATATTATCAACGACTACAGTTTCTTGACGAATAATTCTGAAAAAAATAATTCAACATGCACTGACAAAGATCAGATTACGGTTTCACAATCGCAAAAGCATAAGTTACAAGTGATAAGTCCTACTAATCCTATTAAACCGGAAGAAGATTTTTATAAACGCATCTGGGATATAATCAATGCAACTCAGTCGACATATGAAAGCACAAAACCTCGTTCTAAACGAAATGTCAATATTCCGAAAAGTAATACTTCTCAATTATGCTTACAAGAAAGAAAAGCCAATTATTATCCAGAGGACACGCAGCCGCAAACAATAAACGATGAAGGAACGCTTGATATCGCAAAGACGATTAATCCGCGAGAAATATCTGATCCTTACGTATCAGACTTCTGGAACTTTAATAAAACTCAACAGCAACCTAAGACTGCAATTCCCATAGTGAACATGATAAAATCAAATAATGATTTGATCTCGTCGTCCGTAAATGCTGCAACCGCCTCCGAAGTGGCCGACTTGAATAAATTTCCTGATAATATCGAAGCTAACATCGATCATTTGTCTTCTGATAATTCAATGGAATATGAAAAATATAACAGATCACAAAAAATCATCACTAAGCCATTGTCTTCTTCACAAGAACAAGAAAATTCTACCATTTCGTCATCTTCGCCTATCAAACAAACGATAGATGATACTCCGAAAAAGGAAGATCAAACGAAATATACAAAAGATTATTCAGCCAACACGACTCCGATTTATGATCCTTCAAATATACCTTATGTAGAGGTACCAGATTATACCGATCAACAAGAAGATAGTTTAGATAAAGGTAATCAGAACTTAACTACAGAAAAGTATAAAGAATATGATAGTGATTATGTTAATTTGGAAACACATGATAATCCTGTCGATGAATTCTCGTCGAAGTCTCCAAGCGGTAAGATTAAAGTATTACAGAATATTCAAACCGAAAATAACGAGCCGGAGATTTCATTGAATAATGCAGATATCTCGGATTCACGTTGCACAGAAGATTCTACTGAATGTACTGATAAGTATGATGCTAAAGATACTAAATTACGCAATAATAATACCAGTGACGATACTCAACATTCTATAGAAGATTCAGAATCAGATTTAGAATCTAATAAACATGAAAATTCTACCACAGATTTCGTTGATTTTGATATAAATGAATATAGAAAACCGTTTAATTTGGATGATTTTATTGAAGACGATTCAATATTTAAAAATATACAGACTAATCATAGCAAAGAAAACACGAAATATAATGAAAATCCCGCAGATCGTAACGAGGAATCTGAAGAGTTTGAAATATACGCTACAGTTCCTAAAGAAGAATCAGACAATTATTTCAGAAAGAACGAAGATTATGACGATGGAATCACTTATGATGACAGAGATGAAGCGAAAAAGAATACCCATTCTTCCGCGGAAGAGAAAGCGGAAGACAGTGACGTAATCAGCGAAGATCACTATCATTACGACGATAAAGATTTTCTTAGCCATATTTTCAGAGAGAATAACGATAAAGAACCATCCGAATCAGTTAATAACGAGGACAAATTTTTGTCTCACTACTTCACAAAGGATGTTTTAGATAAATTACGAGAAAACTCAACAGCCGAAGAAGAGAGACAGAGAGAAGAATCGAGGAATAAAGAAGAAATACATAAAACATTGTCAAAAATTTTGGACAAAAAAGATCGTTTCTCTAGATTAGATGAGAATCTCGACAAAATGATTGAAGAAGGTGAAACGATTCCGATCAAATATAATAATTTCTGGAGCTTAGAATATGAATCGCCTCGTAAGAAAAATGAGGAAACAGAAGAAACAGAAACAGAAACTTAAAAAATATAAATTATATTATTTCATATCATGTTATATTATGTTAAACTTATATGCTTGTTATTAAATGTTTATGTTTTTCAGAGTTAGATTAAATAAGCAATTAATTGTAATTATTAAATCATTATTATGTAATTGGATCAAGTAATATCTATTTTGTTATTATAATAATAAATATTGGTTATAATACATGATGTTATTAGAAATTAAATATGAACAATAATATTCTTGATTAGTATTCATTTCAATTGCCCGATTTACTATAAGTTAAATAAATTAAATAATGTATTAAAAATATATAGAAACAAATATCCTTTTGTAGCAATTCCTAAAAAACAGAAATAGGAAATATATAAATACATAATGTCTATTTATATAAAAACTGTGTACGTATATTTAAAAAGTTATAAAATATATATTTTTATATATATTTTAAGTAAAATATACCCATAATTTTCTTCGGATATAATATTATATATTATATCCGAAGAAAATTTTACAATATAAATTACATATTTCCCTGGTATTCGTTTTAAAATTGGAATATAACGATATTAAAATATTTATTATAAAACACTTATGCATTGCTTTATTGTATTTTAATATTATAATTATGCATTTGTCTATGCAACAAAACATTTGAATAATTACAATACTATTTTCTAAAATACAATACATATATAATATTATTGAATAAAAATATCATGATTTCTCTATAAATATGATTCATGATTACAAAAATTATATTGAAATTTATACTATAATATTTTCTCTGTGGAACCAAATATTGTTACCAGTTGTGTCAAAATTTTATATTAAAGTAATAGATTTTATATAAGCTTTAAAAATATATATATATAAAAATATAAAATATAAGAAAAGATAAAAAAGTTACACATAAAATATCATATTCAATTATTAGACCAATTATTTTAAAGCTAGACATAATGCATAGCTGTTATATAAAAGTAATAGAATAAATAAAATTCGATGCATTGAGTGCAGGAAATTAAAGAAATCAAATTAAAGGAAGAAGCAGCGGGGGTTTCCCTAGCGCGAGGGTTGAATCCGGCGTTTGCGGATATATAAGACCGTCGAGTAAGTCTGTTCAGTGTCATTCGTTGGCATTTAACAATTCCAACAGTTTCGCCTTCTCAAGTTGCCGTATCGATCAGGTAAATGTATAAAGAATAGTATTTTCAAAATGTTCATTTCGAGATGACTAAACGTTTTTTTTTCCGCGAAAACGCGTGTTTTTCTATCGAAAAATTCATCGATTTGTTTTTTCACTGTGTCTAAAAAGATTCATTTAAACGTCGTTGATCAATCGATCGCATTAATCGATCAACGTCATTGTTTGTGCAACATACGTTAATGTTGGTATCGAATGCTGTCTGCGCGATCCTTGGTCTTGAATCTTTAAGTGCTTCCTGGACGGCGAGAAAGAGAAGGAGACGGAGAGAGAGAAAGAGAGAGGGAGACAGCACGGAAGATCAAGATACCTTCCATCCATATTTATTATGTTTATATGTTCACAATGTGAACGTTGAGACGAATGCGGAAGCGCGATTAAAAGAGACAGATTCCGGTTATAAACGACCATATTTATATAAAAAAAGCAGCAACAAGACGCATCTTTTTTTCGAAGATGACACGAGGAAAATTCGGCGGAGAATATTCGGCTACGAATCGCGGTAGAAACAACACGATTACATATCATTTTAATCAAATAAATTGTATTACATATTGGGCATTTGGCTCTTTTTTTCTTTTAAATATTCGTGTTGTCAGAATGCTGTTTTTTTATTTAATAATAAGCTAATGATATGTGGTTTCACGATTATGAATGTGCGAATACGCGTGCTTTTAATGGACATTTTTTATCAGTTTTTTAATCATTTTTTTAATATTCTTAATATTTTTTTTATTTTTTTCTCGTAAAGAGAGATACATCCGAGTTATCCCTGAAAGTGCATCGACTGCGTCTTCCTCTCTGTCCTTTCTCTTGAGCATTAATTGCAAACCGGAAATGCAAACCGGCGCGTGTGTATGGCGGAAAGAACATTTTTCGCGTTACCTTTCTTTTTGAAGTATTTTTTTATAATATAGATATCAGCTTTATAAATTAAGATTGCTATACATGATTAAAAATTTAACTTTTGTGAAAGGCTCGGTTATAAATTTTTTTTTCTCGATACTTGCAAATAATAAACTTGAATCTTATTGTTAATTATGTATTGTAATATTTCGAAAAAAAATTGATAAAAAACAGATAAATACGTGAAATATTAAAACAAATCATAATCTTTTTAATAATTATCTTTTTAAAGAATTAGAAATATTCCTCTCGCGTCTAACATATGTGTTTACTAACTTTAGTGTCTATCTTTTTTACTATTAGAAACAATAAATATGAATACTACGCGATTCAGTACTACATAATCTAAATTAACTATATAATAAAAATTTATTTAGATTATATATTAATATTCGGACGATATAAGAATTGCTTGAATAGAATTTAGAATAGTTCTAATTTCACATCGTATAGTGTTGCAAGACATCACTTATATATGTTCAGACTATCACTTTCTATTCTATCATCCGTGTGCATGTATATGTGTGCATGTGTGTGCGTAACATATTAGAATTTTTTATATTTTCATAAAACCTATATAATATTTATATTATATATAAACATTAGATAAACTTTGATTACAATTTATATTCAAAATATGAACAATATTCAACAATCTGGTGTAAATATTTTACAATTTTTATTATAGAGATACAGTTTTATAAATAAAAGTATATCTCTATAATAAAAATTGTTTTTAAAAAACTTTAATAAAAGATCTTTAATTCTCTTTAGCTGTGATATATAAAACAAATGCCTTCTTGATATCAACAAAAAAATAGAAATATATATTATTGTGTCTATATTGTCTGGAGATTTTTATTTCTATATTAATCGATATAAAATTTTATTTGCTTTTATTGCAAAAATTTTTGCCTTTATTGAATATTCATGCCTAAAAAATTATATATTTATTTTTGTTTTAGTTATGAATTCATCAAATCGAGTCACAACAATTGTATTGTTCATCGTTGTTTTCGCCGTTTTTTGTTTCACAACACCATCTATGGCAGATACCGAACGGAATATTGGTAAGTAAATCTCTATAAATTTATACATTATCAGTTACAAATACTAGTCGACCGAAATATATTTCTATATAAATTTCTATATAATTTCTATATACATATAAACCGGCTTTGTGCATGGTCTTTGGCAGGTGTGTGCATACGGAATTGTGCACAATGCAAGAAAATGTTCGGCTCTTTTTTTATCGGCCAGAAATGCGCTGATTATTGCATCAAATATAAAGGAAAAAGGTTTGTGGACTGCGAGGACGAGTTTTCGATTCAGCCTTTTCTTCAAGTGCCTGAGACTGATTATTAATCGATCAAAAAGTTCTTCGACTCTCTCATCTTTGCGTAACATTAAAATATGTAATTGCGTATCGCAGAAAAATGCAAATTTCGATAAAATTTTTGCTATGCATTATAACCAATAATATATATGCAAATTTTCATTGTTATTTCGCAAGAAACATTTCTTTTGAAAGACGCATTATTGTGTGCATAATTTAAAAATCTGAAAAGATTTTGAAATAAGATCTTTCAACTCTCTCTATCACATCATAAACTATTTGAAAATTGCTTATAATGATATAGGAGAATTATATGAAAATATCGGTAAACTAATTTTTTATAAATTTTAATCAATTAACTTTAAATTAACCTTAAATTGTTTGTATTATATTGATAGTTAATATTGTTATGTACTTTTACGATAATATTATTTATTTATATATATACTAGACATTTATCAATATATATTATATGCAAATATACTTTTTCTTAATCAAAGAGATATATTAAATATCAAAGATATTAACTTGATAAATACGCGACATTTTTTAATATTATCTGAACGAAAGGCTTACTGATTTATAAAACAGGAAAAGGGGAAGTCTGTTTAACAAGTTTACAATGCCAAATAAAAATATATAGTTTTAAAGAGAAAGAAAAAAATAATTATGAATCTGTTGATATTAATATCATCTCTTTGTTCATCTAACTAGTCAAAGATATTTTCCCTGTGTATACATTAAATTCTTAAAATTAATGCGTAAATATATATATCATTTCTAAGTGATTATTTAAGAAAAATGTTTAATTACTTAGAAAATTAGCCTCTCTTGTCTAAAAAATTGCAAAAAATGCAATGCAAAAAATATATAAGACTACGATTAATTATGATATTTTTATCTCAAACAAGCTAGGTATAATTGGAAAATATCTATATATGGACTGGTGATCGTTAACATCGCAGTAATATCATTTGCATTGGTTCAGATTTAAATTATATGTATATATATATATATATATATATATACATATCTTTATCTTAATTATATGTATATATATATATATATATATATATACATATCTTTATCTATATACATATCTCGTATATATATATACGAGATATATATTTAATATATATTAATTGGAATACTCACATGATATATATTATTTTGCGCAATGGCAGTACGTTAAAAATAAATAACAAATATTATAATTTGAGAAAGTATTAAAGCTGCTTTCAGATAAAGATAAAAAGATAAAAAGATAACTGTTTCAGATATAGCAATGCTAATATAAAAGATTTGTACTGCTTAGAAAATTAAATATATATATATATATATATATATATATATATATATATAATTATATATGTATGTGTGTAAAAAATGGCGATTCAAAAATATTATTTTAATCCTTTGCATTTTCATATACTATCTGCTTTCACCGTCAATTCGATAAATTACCATAGGTTCAAATTATTACGAATGCAAAGGCTTAATAATAAAAATGCAAAAAATATAATAACGATATCATAATTTATCGTTAAACAATGCATACGTCACATACCTGGCAATGATTATCTGCAATCTTTCATTACAGTTTGGTAAGAAAATAACAGCGCGGGAAATATGAAATTCCTCTTCTATATGAGTCCATCTACTTCAATACACACACATACACACGCGAACCGAACCGAATCATTAACCGAAATCGCGATAGCAGTATAATAAAGATACTTTAGGTAACGATCCAACACTTTATGCGAGACATTCGTAATAGTTTTTCGTGCAATTTGTCGAAAAAATAACAGCGTGAAGTAAATATGAGAAAAGTTTTACCTAATCTAGGCACACACACACACATAGGCATACACAGCGATTGAATTTTCTCGACTGAAATCGCGCGATAGCGGTATAATAACGATTATACGCGATATTTAATACTTTAGATAAATGTTCGACACTTTATAAAAGATATTCGTAATAGTTTATCCTGTACAAGATTCTTTCAAACAGTAAAAATCGTGCGAAAAATGCGGAGCGATTGGAATGCGACTTCGCGACCATCACGATACGTTCCGTTTGAAGTTAGCAGAAATTATAAGATTTATCGAAGGTGATATCGCAAGTGTCAACTATCGAAAAATAACCTATGGCTATGCGGAATAATTATTAAACTAGAGATAAAACTCGAATATGTATTTAAAATAATAAATTAATAAATTAAAAATAATAAATTAATTGTACTAATTCATTTAATATGTAAGGTCTAATATTTTATTCATTTGATATGTAACGTCTAATATTTTAGATAGTATCGAAACGCACAAAAAAAAATGAAGATGCGAATAGTATAATTTTTGTTTAAATATATAGGATTGTGAGATCTCTTTAGTTGTATACAATATTGTTTTTGTCAACGAAAATTAAATTCATATTTATCAACGAGATAAAATCTCTTTGTTATATGCGATACGTGCATAAAATATATCAATCAAAGTATCAGTAAGAAAAGCTTGATTATGGATTATTTTAATTTCTATAAATAAGAAAATGACAATGTTCTTAGAACAATATGTTACACTGATAATTGTGACAAACATTATGCATCTGCACGTACAAAAATTGATAATATGAGAGAAATTCTATTATAAAACTATTATCTGAAAGAAATATTGAATGAATACAGAAACAACGCTTTACATAGTTCACAAATTCTTAATTGAAGGACGTATATAAAATAAATGCATATATTTGTCTCAGTAAAAGTGTTTTTTTACCATTAACCCATAAATAATTTACTCCCAAGTCGTCCATTATTCTGGTGTAGGTGGAATCACGTAACATTCTGGAATTGTCGATAGGGTTTGCTTTGATTCTAGTTGTTGCACCTAATAAAATTATATAGATAAGGATTTCTTAATTTGTTTTAAATTATATATTATGTTTTAAATTATATATATTGTTTAAATTCTTACACGTTGCCGCAATGACTTTTCATTGATAGCTGCTCGTGTCAATAACTGTTTCACTTTTTCTAAAAGTTCGGATTTATGTATTAATTGTTGCTTCAAGATACGAAAATCCCCATTATCATCTTCCTTTTGAGCTTTTTCTAACATAATTAATCTCTGTTCAGCTAGTTGTAAATCTGACTCTAAACTTATCACACGTTTCTGAGATTCCTCATATTGTCTTTGAAGTAAAATATTTCCATCGATAGTATTTGTCTTTCCCTGTATTTAAAATATAATAACGTATGTATATAAAAAAGTAAACATATGTATCGTTTACATATATTTAAAAATTAATTTACTTGGCTTATTAAAAAATGATTTTTTTTAGAATTAAATTTCAGCCTTTTATTCTCTGCTTGAAGTTTTTCGATGATTCGCTTCAGTGTAAAGATTGTTTTCTCCATTTCAAAGATAGATTTTTTGTTGTTGTCTGATTCTGGCAATTCTTTATCTGATGATCTAGGAGTAGAATCGGAAGATTTTTCTGCTTTTAATAATTTGATGTATCTGTAAAAATAAAAATACGATAATATTAATAATTTGTTTTTATCTATATTTTCACACAATAGAGGATAATATGTATTATAAGTAAACATACTTTTCTAAATGCTCGACCTTTTCTCGCAATCTCGGAGTATCTGAATTCGCCTTTTCTAATTCAAGTCGTAATTCGAAATTTTCACTTTCTAATTTGAGATTCATCTTTTCAAGAATATCTTTAGTCGTTTCTAATTTCTCCAATTGACTAATTACACATGTATTACCCTGTAAGATAACATTTAATAACAATAAAAAAGTCACATGTTTATTATAATGCAAAACATACTAACTTGAGAAACTGCTTCCAGAGCCGCATTATGTCGTTTTAATTCTGCTATCTCTAGCATCAAATGTTCATTACTTTCTTTCTCTAAACGATCAGTTAATTCCTTAACACGTTCTCTTAATATTCGACATTCTTTTTCTAATTCTTTTTCTATTGTATTAAGCTGGATAGTTGAAACGGGTCTTATCGATGAATTACCGGTATCACTCTCAAGTTTGAGTTTACTTCTCAAATGCCATTTTTCTTTTTCCATACACGAAACAACAGATCGAAGTTTCTCATAATTTGTAAGTAATTTTTCATATTCATTAGTCTTCTCTTTAAGTTTTTCTTTTAACTTTTCTGCTGTTTGCTGCCACTTTTTTTGTTTTTCCCATAATGAAAGTTCTTCTGCAGTCTATTCAAAGAAAAATCAAATTTAGTATATATTATTAAAATAATATTTTGTTTTGGCTTATTCTTTTTATACCTTAGCTTTTTTAATTTCCTGTGCCAGATATTCTCGATCTAACTGTGTCTTTGTTTTATGTAATTCTTCTTCTAAAGATGTTACTTTACGCTCGAGTTGCGCTTCACGTTGCGACATTTTTTTCTCCTGAGATTTTGTCGCCATATATCTAAAATAAATCAAATATTTGATTTAATTTACATCTTTGTTACAATTAATTAAAATCAATTTAAAAATTAATTATAATATTTATAAATTAGTAATTTACCTGCGACTGAGTTGCTGCTTTAAATCAGTTATTTCAGATTTGTACGTTTTTTCCTTTTCTATTAAAGATTGAAGTTGTCGACGTAAAACATCTATTTGATTTTGTTGTTGCATCTGATCTCGATGACTATGATGTGGCGTTTCATTTACTTTTGTATCTCGCGCTATCATTTGCTGAGATCGACTTACAGATTCTATTAATTCAACTTCATTCTGTATAATAAAAATATATTTTTAAAAAATTAAACAATTATATATATTATTTGATAATAAATTTAACAAAATTGTGGCACCTGTAATTGTTGACATGCAAGAGTTAGTTCATAAATTTTATCATCTTTTTCTTGTAGTTCTTTCATGAGGGAAATATTTCCTTTTGTGAGTAACATACGATTTTCAGACAATTGTTGTCTAAGTGTGTCGGCTTCAGACTGCCATTTATTCGATTCGCTACGATAACTTTCCAATTCATTTTTATGTTGTTGCTCCTGTCTATAAGAATATAAATTATTTGTAATATATTATACAATCATTTTCTATTCTCTTTTATTTTACAAAATATCATTTATTTTCAATAGTGAGAAATTGATTAAATTTATGACTGAATAACATCTTATATTATTGTAAAACAAACTTTTCTCTCATACGATCCATGTGCTTCAATCTTTCTTCTGCTAATCGATGCCAACGTTCGCTCAATTCTTTGCTGATATTTAATTCTGCTTCGAGAGTAGACACTTTCTCACGTAGTCTTGCAATTTCTTCTTCTTGCGCGGCACTATTTCTCGGTACTTTTGCTACAGTTTCATCGACTGTTAATGTTTTCTCCAAAATATTTTTCACACTTATAACAGGTCCTCCATTTTTTTTTATTTCACTTTGCATAGTCAAAATACGATCGTGCAAATTTTTAATCTCATTCTGAAAACAACTCGCTGCCCGACTATGTTCGTCTCTATCTTCTTTCAATAAATTTTGATATCTCAAAATAGTCTCCTCCTTTTGATTAATTAATTTCTGCAAACTGTTTATCGTCGATTTCAGAGCCAATTTATCAGTGCAATCTATATTCGTGATATGTGATTGGCTTATTAACTCATCGAGTACACTTTGTTTTTGGGCAAGATGCGAATCCTTTTGCTCAATCACTTTGTTCAGAGAGTCCATTTTTAATTGATATTGTAAATCTTTTTCCTCAATCGATTTGTTCAGACTGTCCATTTTTGTTTGATACTCTAAATCTTTCTCCTCAATCGCTTTGTTCAGAGTATCCACTATTACTTGATATTGCGAATCTTTTTCCATTATTGCTTTATTTAAAGCGTCCACTTTCGCTTTATACTCTGCTAATTGTGATTCATATTTGACAAGCATCACGGAGCGTTCCGATGCGAGTTTTAGCGCTTGATCCAACTGCTCATTAAGGATTACCGAACTGCCGTTTTCTTCTGTTTTATTTTCCGCTTCTTTATTATTTTTTATAGTTTTGCTCGATTCAATAGATTTTTGAATATCTTTAAACATTACAATTTCTCCAGTCACATCTTGCTCTTTTTGATTTAAACAGCAAGTGTAGGTATCTGTTTGAACACTAACTACTTGAGTTTCTGTTATTGCTTGAATCGATTTTGTTTCAACATTTGGTGTATTAATTAAAAGCTGATTATCTTGTTGCGGATACCAAGCTCTCTGCATATTTAACATATCCTGTTCCATGCTTGTTATTACAGATTCATATTCGTTGAATTTACTATTAGCAATTTGCAGTTCATGCTCTAAATGAGCTATTTTCCGTTTATATTTGAAGTCCTAGTTAAAAAATTATAAAAACATGTATAATAACTTTTTATAATATAGAAAGAATTCAATTTGAAAGCAATATTCAAAAAGCATTATTAAAATATAAATGTTTAAAATAAAATTATAAGATTGATCAATAATTAGAATACATTAAAAGATGTACAATAAAAAATAAATATATTTTAAGCATGTGCATGTTATAATAATTTAATTGTTTTGCTAAATTTTATTATTATAATAACAAATTTTTTATACTTATTTATCATATATAGAAATTTACACTTAGAGTCTGTTGTGATGATTCAGCAAAACGTTCCATTATAATTTGAACGCTTCCGGTACCGATTTGTTGCTCTAATATATCTTTCAAACGTTCGATAATTTCAAGGCGAGCAGATAAGAGTTGCTGTTCGTATTTAACATCTTGATGACATTTTTTAGTTTTCTGCATTTCTGTATCGATATTTTGACGATCTATTTTCAATTTCGTAGCAAGTGTAATTACTTTTTCTAAAGTACTTATGGGAGTTGATCCTGCATATTGACATTGTAGAAAATATATAATATCTGCATAATACCTGTAATACATATATACATACAATGTAATATAATATATTTCTATATGCAATGTAATATAATATATTTCTGCAATGTAATATAATATATTTCTTCTATAATATATTTCATACAATGTAATATAATATATTTCTATATGCAAAATAATATTTAAATATAATTTTTAATCTTACTTGCAACGATTGTCACATTGTTTCCGATAATCTTCTACATAACTGCGCATCTCTTCATATTTTTTTCTTGAACTATCAAGTTCTTGTTGCATACTAGATAGATCGTTTTGCAATCGCGTTTTCTGTGTAATTAATTCCATTTCTAACATCTTCTTACTTGTAAGTTCGAAATCAAGTTTCGAAATAATGGCTTTATCTTCACTTACAGCCTGCAAATCTAATATTTGGTGCCTAAGACTATCCAACTCTAATGTTTGTAATGAATTCAGCGAATATTGCAAACGAGCCTCGTCTTCAGAAATTTGTAACATTTTTTTCAAACTTTCGATCTCTATAACAAGCTGTATTTTTTCATTTTGCAATTCTTGTATATGATTATCATCTATTTGTGTAGCTTCTTGCAACATTACCTCCTTAAATAATTTTTGATGTATCTGAATCATCTTTTCTTGATTTTCTGAATTGACAGTAGAGAGTTGTTTAACATTATCTTCGCACTTTGTTAATTGCATTTGTGATACTTCATATAATCTAGCCATCCGGTCAGCTCGTTGTCTTTCGATCAATTCTTTGGCCTCTATTTCTTTTAATTTTTGTTGCAAATTGTTATCGTTCTTACAGTTATCCGTTTTTCGCAAATCTTCTACGAGTTGATATTTTTCTTGTCTTATCATTTCTATTTCAGCTTTCAGAGATGATATTTCATTGGAATCACGACATATCATTACATTTTCTAACAAAGCGTGATGACGTATATTTAATTCTTCATATTTCTCTTTCAATTCATTATGCACAGTTATGCTTACAGAATTGCTTAAATTACTTTGCAAGAGTGAAATTTCTGATAGCAACGTTTTATTGTATTTGTTTGCATCAGTAACAGATCTATTAAGATCATTCTCCTTTTTAATTACATCTTTTTGGTACTCATATAATCTGCTAGTTTCTTTATTAAGCAATTGTCGAAGACTTATATTTTTTCTATTCATAATTATTATTTCATTAGCAGCGTCCGCATATTCTCTCGTTTTTATTGCAAATTCTTTTCGAATTTCATCGTCTCCATTTTCTATAATTTGCCAATTTTTTTTATAAACTTCCAATTGCTTTTTTAAACCATCTATTTCATCTTTTAATTCATTACTTTCCTGAATTAACAAATCTTTCTGCTTTTCCCATTCTTCTGCCTCGTTTTTATATGCCGTTTGCAAAGCTTTCATTTCTGCGAGATACGTCATTATTGCTTCATCCTCACTATGTCTCTCAAACAAACTTTCTAAATCTATATTTTTAATTGTTGCTAAGTCTTGTAATATATTATCCTTCTTTTGCAATTCTTTCCTATAAATTATATATTAAAGTATAATTTATTAATTATAAAAATAACAACAAATAATTGTTTAATTGCCTAATATGTGCTGTATTCATGTAACATTCAATAAATTTTATAAAATACCTCAATAATCTAAGTTGTGATCTTAATTCAGTATTACTGCCTTGAACAACATTAAGATGCTCCTGTAATCTCATAGCTGGATGGTACCAGCCAGCTAAATGTCTAACGTCCAAAGCTTCTAACAATCGCTCCAATGTACTGGATTGTATTTCTACCTCGCTTTTACCTAAGATACACAAAAATATAATTTGGTTATTTTTAAAACAATTATTAATATAATAAAATTAGGAAAAAAATATAACAATGTTCATTAGTTGCCACAAATAAAACACAAATAGAAAATGAGAAATTAAGTAGATTTATACAGTAGAGAATACTTTTACTAATTTTTATATATTATAGAAAGGAAATAAAAGCAATAAAAGAAAAACCTAGGGTGTCATAGAAATGGAAATGTGTGCAATACTAAAGTACCATTAAAATTAGCGAAAACCATTCACCATCTTGATTGCGTATACTGTCCATGATTTCATGCATGCCTTTTCTAAGTGCCTCATTTTCTTCTATAATTATCTGAATATTTTGATTAACTTCGAAGATATCATTACTAGAAGATACTTGCATATTTTCTGGTTCCATCAATTTAGTTGAATGTAAAAACTGATTACTAAAATCACCTAAATTATCTGGAATATCTAATATCTTTTCAGACTTGCTCAATTTATACTTCAACATCCTTATCTACAAAAATAAAAATTGTAAAAAACAAAGTAAAAATTTGCAATAAATGTTCCCTTAATATGTATTGCAATATATCTTAAATAAGAAAGATATACAATTATGTGTGTGATATTATATGTATTATATTCTGTGTGTATTCGTGTGTATGCATGTACGCGCGTGTTATATGTATATGCATTATATATGTGTGTGTATGTACATACATATTTTATAAATTAATTTTCCATAAATTATCTTACATCTGATTTTAATTCTAAATTTTCTTCTATGAGGCTTTTATTTTGTTGAATAAACTGTTCCAATCTTCTTGATTCCTCTTTACGTTTTGCCATAACACTTTTAATTGATATTGATTCATCCTCTGGAATCCCTAACTTTTCTCTATTATAATATAAAAATATAATTATATTTGCTTTCTCATTTCACATATTTTATAAATAAATAATATCAAAAATTTTACCTAAGAGTTAAGATCTCCATTTCTTGATATGAATTTAACATCTCCAATTTATTAATAACATTGACTAAATCTTCGATATGTTCATTTTTGTGATTTATTTTAATTTTTAATTCTTTAATTTCATTTAATGCTTTGGTTAAAGTTTGATTTCCATCTTCATAATTTTTTAAGGTAGATAATACCTCACACAACTATGTAAAAAAATATTGAAAAAAAATGAATTTAATATTTTTAATATATAATTTAAAATAAATACAAAATATTTTAGAATTATTACCACTCTTTTCATTTGCAGATTTATTTTTACATAATTTGCAATTAAATTTCTTAACAGAACTATTATTATTTTAAAACTATAAAAAATTGATAATTAAACACATTTCTATCCATTAAATTTTCGAAGAAAGTGTAAATTTATAATTATACTTATTTATTGAATAATGTATAAAATATTCGGCATAAAAATAAAACTGAATTATAAAACCGAAATATTTTCAATAAGTTATATATTTATATTATATTTAACAAATTTTCATATTTGGTTTTTTATTTTAATGAAAAATTAACTCTATAAATTTATAAAATTTGTAATTAAAATTATAAGTGGTAATAGCTCTGCAGTAATCCATATAGAGTTTTTTATAAACCAGATATAAAAATATGGATGTCTAACTTTACTACTTTGTGATTTGGCGTCATCCTGTGCTTGGGATAATGCATTTTCCAAATTAGAGATCTTTTCATTGGCAATTTGTATTTTTTTCAGTAAACTTTTTTGCTCTTTCCGTTTATCGCTTTTTACAGACCTATGAAATAAATCAACTTGAAAACAAACAACTAGAAATGATGAACTGTATAAAATTACAAATATGTATATAGAAAAGATTACTTACTCTTGGGTTTCCTGTGCCTTTAATTTTTCTATAAGTGCAGCACTCTCATTGATTTCTACAATTGCATCAGAGAGTTTTGTTTGCAATTCGACTATAATTGCATCCCGACGAGCTATTTCATCATTTAAATGAATAATCTGTGATTTATTTTCTTCTTTGGCTGATGTAACAGATTGCATTAAAGATTGTGATACACTTTGTTTTAAATGTGCAATTTCCATATCTTTTTCATCTAATATGCCCTTATAACATAAATAATGCAAATATATAAAAATGTTTTCTTTTATTTTCTAATAAATATTAATATAAATAAATAAATATGAATATAAATATTTTATTGAATTTTTATATAGTACCTTCCATTCAGATATTCTAGTATCAATAGCTAGTCCAAATTCATCTAACATTTTGTCTCTATCTATTTGTTGTGCAGTTATATCTTCAATTTGAATAACTAAAGCTTTATTTTCTTGTTCTAATTTTTGAATCTTATCTGTAATGAGATAGTGTTTATGTTTATTTATAAAGAAAGCAATTAAAAAAATTATATATATAAACATATACTATTCAGGTAAGTACCTTCATATTCTGTAACTTTTATTTGAGTTGAATGAAGTTCTTGTGTCATCTCATTCATTTTTTCTGTTGCATCCTCCATTTCGTCTTTCAATGTCATTAATCGTTTTTTAAGAATTTCATTCTCCTTGTCTAAACCCTGAAAAATGAGAAACGATAATAAGGAAACACTAACTTTTTATTAAATAAAAAAATTTTAAATTTCTTATTATGTTACCTTTAATTCAACCATAAGTGTTTTAACTTTTTCATTTGTATCTGTATATCTAGCTTGTGTATCTGGACAAGTAGCATATTCTGTATCCTTTAAAATAATTATAAAATAATGATTAATTGTAATATAAAATTAAACAATATTTCATTAATATGATATAAATAATGAAAAAAAACTTACTTTAGTAAAATCATCACTTTCTTGTTTTATTGCAGATATATCTTGATCTATGAAGAAAATTATATAATATAAGTACATGTAGAATAAAAATTATAGAAATTATCAAAATAACTTTAATTCATACAAATTATAAATTTTATTTGAAAAATAATTTCAAATAAAGACATATAAACACAGATATAAATTTTAACAATTACCTTTGATTTTTCGTTTAGCAACCTCTGGACGTAAAGAAGCTATTGTTTCTTTCAATTCACCGCACTCAAGAAGTAAGGCCTCAACCTAACATTAATAAATTTATTTTATATGCAAAAAAGCTCATTATTATTTTCTCATATTAATTTTTTTAATTTTTAATAAAAATAAGAAATATTAAAATATTAAATATACATAATAGCTAATAATTTCTTTACTTGATTATCTTTATAAGTCAACATTTCTTGCGATAATCTCATGAGTGTCCGTAAATTATATACATCGGTAATCTCGTTTACATCACATCGAATCACTGTCGGAAAGAGATCTTCGATTTCTTCGTCTGTTAAAGATGAAACATTTACAGATAGTATTCGGTCCCAATCGGTGCGAACCATTTTTCGTAATAATAATTAAACCGTGAGAGAGAAAAAAGTGAGCAATATAATTTTTATTTTGCTATAGTTGTATATTACTCCAGATCCCAGATATTTCTTTTGACATCTCCAACGATTTACAAACATCATTGACGAATACACATATAAGAAGCCTCATATATGAAAATGCATAGCTACAAGCTACATAAGTAATGTGTAACAATACAGCTGAATAAGCAATGTGTAAGCAATACATTAGATAGGCAAAAGGTAGAAATTGACCGCATCCTCAGACTCAACCGCTAAATAGCAATCGAATATGATTGGTTTCTACTTTCAGATCCGACCAATCAGCGTTGAATCATCAGAAAATCTAGTAATGTTACCCAACTGTTGAGTCCGCTGAATGCGGCCATTAAAGGTGCAATTTCATTGACGCTAAAAAGTAGCGTCAACCATTGGTTGAACAAAGAAGCAACTACTTACTTCTTTGTCCAACCAATGGTTGACGCTACTTTTTAGCGTCAATGAAATTGCACCTTAAAGCGGCCTTTTCATTGACGCTACTTTTTAGCGTCAATGAAATTGCACCTTAGCAGTTGGCAGCCCTACGAGATAGGCTGTGCAGCACTGCGCGTATATAAAATAAATTTGAAATCGCTTCTAGCCTAACCATCTTCACGCGATCGACTTTATTTGAATTGCACGGCATCGCATCGAATTATGATGCGGCGCCGATTTGTTCGAACGTAATTCGGGACATCGCGATGCTGTATAAGCGTCGAATGAGCACGAATTGTCACGCAAATATGATAAATCACATCTACCCACCGTTCACCGGCTGTTTCACAGGCCGCTCCATTCGCTCGCCTCCCGATATTCGCTCGCATCCAATAATCATCATCAAGGGCGCAAATAACGCGACGCGACTTCGCTCCATCTTCGCGATCGCGCTATCACTGAACTGTGAAAAATAGCTGTCGCGCACTTTCACCGACATATTATGAAAGTCGCGTGATCATCCTTGGACACTTTCGACGCTCTTTCACTCGCGATATTCGTTTAAAAACGGTTAAAAGACGCGAAAAATGCGGACGTACGACGATCCGTGTAACTGCGTATGACTCCGATTCACGTATGACGCGATGACGTAGCAGTGACGTCATGCGCCAACATGGCGGCCGAACCAGTGCGCACTGGTTCGGCCGCCATGTTGGCGCGTGACTGCTACGTCATACGCGTCACTGCTACGTCATACGCGTCATACGTGAATCGGAGTCATACGCAGTTACACGGATCGTCGTACGTCCGCATTTTTCGCGTCTTTTAACCGTTTTTAAACGAATATCGCGAGTGAAAGAGCGTCGAAAGTGTCCAAGGATGATCGCGCGACTTTCATAATATGTCGGTGAAAGTGCGCGACAGCTATTTTTCACAGTTCAGTGATAGCGCGATCGCGAAGATGGAGCGAAGTCGTGTCGCGTTATTTGCGCCCTTGATGATGATTATCGGATGCGAGCGAATATCGGGAGTGCCGAATAAAGTGTCGCGCGTTCGCGTTGATGATATCGTGTGCATCAAGATCGGAATGGGACGTCCCGAGGCGAGCGAGTGGAGCGGCCTGTGGAACAGCCGGTGAACGGTGAGTAGATGTGATTTATCATATTTGCGTGACAATTCGTGCTCATTCAACGCTTATATAGCATCGCGATGTCCCGAATTACGTTCAAACAAATCGGCACCGCATCATAATTCGATGCGATGCCGTGCAATTCAAATAAAGTCGATCGCGTGAAGATGGTTAGGCTAGAAGCGATTTCAAATTTATTTTATATACGCGCAGTGCTGCACAGCCTATCTCGTAGGGCTGCCAACTGTTAAGGTGCAATTTCATTGACGCTAAAAAGTAGCGTCAATGAAAAGGCCGCTTAACATCTAGTAAATTACCCTAGAGCGATAAATCCAACCACTCGAAAATGCCATAGGTTTTCCGATGTGATTTGATGCTGATTGGTTGGATCTGAAAGTAGAAACCAATCATATTCAATATCTTAAGCCCGTTACAAGATCGTTACACAAGGCAGAGAGCTAAAATTCATTGCCAGTAGGCCGGGTCTACAATAGGCAATTTAAGCTTTAAGCCTTAGGAGATTGACCAATCACAGTCAAGTATGAAGAAAATACTCGACTGTAATTGGTCAATTTCTTAAGGCTTAGGGCTTAAATTACCTATTGTAGATCGGGACGTACTGAACATCTATAGTTTACGTCACGTATATTATAGCTTTTCAATACTGGCAGTTTATAGTTTATATCTGAACGCAGTCTCAGTGCTCAGTCTTCTCATTGCTACCGGCACCCGGCATATTCCTATTTTCCATAATTCTATACATTTCCCGCTATTAATCTACATATTAGATGCTACCGAACAGCTGATAGTACAACGTACATTTTGAACTCAGATTAGGAGTCACGATATCTTAAGAAATATTTATGAAATAAGAGAAGAGAAAGAATTATACGCACGTATGTAAATTAATTAGAAATTAAGTTGAAATTTTATCTAAGTACAAGTATTCATTTAATTGTGATGTATTGTGAATAGTATAATGCACGGATAAGTTTTTTATGAACTAATTAAAATGTATCTTGTTTCAGGTCCTTCCTTTCTATTAGATTATTTTTCAATCTGTAAGATGAAAACGAATACTAGCAGTGAAACGATTGTAACTTCTGAGGTTAGTATCTTTTCTATTTATTTTTGTCACACCTAAAATTCTTAAAAAATGCGATGTTAATATAGTTAAAATTATCTCTTTCTGTTCAATTGACAAGAAAAAATTATTTAATATACATATATTTTCTCTTTTTTCTTCTCAATATGTAAAAAGTAAATATAATTTAAAGGTCATTTTATGTTCAATTTTTTATTGTGAGAAACGATTTTTATAAATATTTATAAGAAGTGAGAGATTATATTTATCAGAAAAAGAGAGAATTTAAAATTTAAATTTCATATATAATCTTGAAAATAAAATTGAAACTAGTCATTTATATATAAAAATGCAATTATTTTGCTATTAATATTAATTATAAATATCAATTTAACAATTTATAATTCATAATTGATAATTATTAATATAGAAAATTATTATTTATGTTGTATCACCTCATAAGAATATATTTATATTTAAATTATATATATATATATATATATATATATATATATATATATAAACTATATCTATTTAATTATTAATCTCTGTTGTACTTTTATACATAAATGTATATACTTTTATATGTAATCTAAATTTTGGTACATCTGTCATATATTGAATAACAATTTATAAATCTATTAAAAATAGTGTGTGTATGTGTATGTATGTGTGTGTGAGTGTGTGTGTGTGTGTGTGTGTATATATATATATATATATATATATATATATATATACATATATATACATATATATATATTGTTGTGCATATATAGAAAATGATAGTAGAAATATATTTAAAAAAATTAAAAGAGTTATATTAATGTAATATCTCTGTAAAAAATAAATGAGTAATTTTTCTCCTTTTATTGGAACAGGATAAGAGTAGGAAATCTTTACATGAATTACAACCATCGGCTATTAATAAAGAAACTTTAGTTGGTGCTGATAGGATGATCAATTCTACTGAACAATCGAAAAAAGCAAAACCAAAAAGGTAAAGTATTTCCAAAAAGCTAAACCAATAAGGTAAAAAGTATTATGAAAATATTGTAATAAGATTGAGATAAATTTTTATTTATTGTATGCTTTAGGACTATATCTCATGCAACAAAAAATAGTTCTAAACACAAGAATATAAAAACCAAGGACAAGGCTGTCCAAACTGTACAAGAGGAAAAAGTACAGATTGAGGCTGAGGATTTAATATCTACAGGTACATTTAAAAATTTATTTTTATATTTTTTAAATTAAAATGTATATAAAGAAATTTAATTTTCTCTAAAATTTTCTTTTCAACAGATGCAGCTGGCCCAAGCAAAAACTATTGGCAAGTTATAGCTGAAAAACGACGAGTAGCCCTTAAAAATGCTTTAGAGGAAAATAAGGAACTTGTACAATGTATTGAAAAGTTAGAAGAAGAAAAGCGTATCTATAAAGAGATGTTAGATGAGACAAGAACATATGCTGAAGTGCTACAGGTAATATTGCTATTTTATGAATAGGTATGATATATTTAACATTGACAAAATTACTTTCTATAACTATCTTATTGCAGGAGATGATTGGAAATGATAAAAATGGCATAAATAATTTACTAGAAGATAGTATTGGGGATGATAGAAATGGCATAAATAATTCACTAGAAGATAGTATTCTTTAATATATATATATAAATTTGTTTTTTATAAGAAAATAAAAAAAAAGAATAATATAAAAAATTAGTAAACTTTTTGCACACAAATATATTTTCATAAAACTTCAATTTTCATTTAAATAGTTTAAGTATAATAGTTAAATATATGCGAGAATACCACCTTTGTGAAATAAATATAATTTTAAATATTTATATTATTTAGTAATAGAAATAGTTAAAATTTTTTATATTATTCTTATCTTATGACTTTATTGCTAATGAAATCAGTATCATCTAGCATGTATATATTGCATTACATTATAAAAATCATTATATTGCATTATATTAAAAAATATTTTTCAAAACTTGTATCATACACATGATTTATCAAGAAGGCATATAAAAGTTTCAATTAAAACTTGTTATTCATTCACACACATATATATATATTTGTCGTTTTCGAGCAATTGTATTGACAAAACATGTAAAAATCAGGGACAAATTAATATAAGAGTGTACATTGAAGTATAAAAAATAAATATTTACTCTTCAAAATAAATAAGAATGCTTATATAATATTTACTATAAAAATACTGCATTTTATCAATTATTTTATGTTGTTATATGACACATAACGTCAAATTGACATTCTTCATCGCGATCTGGATATGCCGCTTTCATAATAGATATCGGACATGGCATATCATTTGGACAACCTAACAAATATACTGGTCGTTCCTGAAGCATAAACAGGATACTAGGACCTTGAGATGCGCAACTAGAAAGAATATAATTAAGGAATTATACTTATGAAAATATATACAATTTTATATAACTTTAAAATAGAAACATACTCATATAAAATAAATGCTATGTTAGATGCAAATGTATCAATAATACTGCTTCTCCAAAGTCTTTTTTCTGCTTGGTGCAGTCTGAAAGAATCATGCATCAAAGGATGTGTATCTTTGGCTACTCCAAGTAATGCTAATAATTTCAAAATTGTTCCAGAATGTGTAAAATAAGCTGTTGTTGTTGCTTCTTCTTTAGATCTGTAAAATAAATAATGCTCTTCTAATATATTACTTCAATGCACACACATACACACAATTAATTTAAAAATATAATTTTAAATTAGTGATTAGATTTATTATATTACAGTATGTATAGATTTGCATACCCAAAAAAACTAAACATATCTTTTAAGGCAGAGCATGCTTGTTTATAAGTCAATGGATAACCATATCCATCAATCCAATACAATTCTAAATCTTCTGCATATTCAAAGATCTACAAAACAGATTTAGCATTTGATGTAGGAGTAAATTTTCTTTTATTAGATAATTTAGATAATCAAATAATTTTAATTAAAAAAATTAAAGGTCTTACCCTGAAATCATTTAATGAAAATATTTTACACCAAGGAGATACCGTACTCTGATTCCAAGCAGTTTCAAAAGCACACATAGTATGCATTAAATGTGCAGTTTCTGGAAACATATAATTGTTCACATTTAATATAGTAAAAATCCATTATATAATAAAAATACAGTGAAATCTTGACAGTTAACATTGAATTTACATGCAATAATAACTAACCATATTCAATAATAACTAACCATAATCAATATTGTAGCCAATACGTTTTTTAATATTATTTAACATATTTTTAACAATTTTGCTATTCAAAAATTTCGTTTTTTCTGATCTTGCATTTGAATTCTTATCAACTTCTTGGCGCCAGCGAGGACAAGCCTTATAAAACTAAAAACATATGTCAAAATAATCATTTTTTTTAGAAAGAGAAAAATAGGAAAGAAGACAAATCATCTAAGAATTGAAAAATAATAAAGTAAAATTACTCTTAAGACTGGATCTCGATATATCGGTGCTGGAAACCAAATATTTTTACTATTATGCCAGCCAAATAAACCAACAGCAAAGTGTTTTGCACTCTCCTCTGTACGTTGAGTGGATGTATATCTGAACTAAAATTCACAGTTGATGTTTAAAGACCATGAGAACATGTATAAAATAATCAAATACTTCATATACTTTATAAGTCTGATTGTTGAAAGTTTCTGGCATCAGAGATGGAAATCTTGCTTGATATCTTTCTCCAAGATCAATCATTTCATCCTCCCCTTCTGTTGCCAATTTCATCATATCTCTTTGAGTAAGTGACAGTTTCCATTTCTTAAATAAAGCTGCATCACCAGCTGACAGATTTGTTGTATTATTTTCATAATTTTTTAATATTATATGTTGCAACTGTGGCAATTCATTTATCATACGAGGTATATACTTCTTGCCTGGATAACGAGTTCCATGACGCAGAATTAACCAAATCTTTTTTTCTATACAATCTATAAGTTAAATACCAATAAACACATCTATTAATACAACTTCAATCATATTAAACATATATAAAGTAACTGACAATATTATAGGATACCTGCATATTTCAATGATGAATCATCATAATTAGCTACACATCTGTAAGGAGTTTTTGATCCTAGTTTACATTCATAAGTGTCATTATGCTTGGAATCGTTAAAAGCATAAGAAAAATCTATAATAATTATACAAAAGATAACAATTTCAATAAATAACTTCCAAAGCATTTTGTGTATCTTATAATCTTGTAACTTTCTCAAAGATATATATAGGAATATATTTGCTTCTCACGCATAGACATCTCGCGCATATATACATGTATTAAAATATAAATAATTTTTTATAATGAGGATTTGTTTTCCATATTTTTCATCATAATATTATTGTTCATGTCGAATTTTTCCCTAATGTGTCGTTATTCCGTAAGCGGCGTCGATTGTCGTATATCGGAATTGGTAGAAGTCTGCGGAACTAGAACGCACATCTAAAGATACACTCCAATCATAGGCAGACGTACCAGAGTAAACACAATAGTTAGGAGCAGGTTAGAAATATTCCAAAAAAAGAAAAAGAGAAAGAAAGAACAAGTAAGGATCAAAAATTAAATTTAGTGCTCTCTTTTTATTTTATATATGTTATTTTAATGATATCTAATATAATTTGTTATAGGTGTATATATGAAAGAAAAATGTATCTCAATATCTGGATGTCTGATTCAAAAAGCTGATTAATTTAAATATAATGTATGTATAGCTTAATTGTTTTTAAATAATTAATCTAGTCTACTACTTTCTGAATACTTTACAGAGCTACTGTTTATAATATATATATATGATATAAATTTTTTACTACATATCTCATGATTAAACTTACTACTGATTAATTAATTGTTAGACTAAATCAGTAGTTATACTAGAAATAATTTTAATAGCTCGTATTGCATTATTGTATATTGCATTATATTTAAATAAACTTGTATTAACATTAATAATAAATGATATTAATAAATGATAACTTCAAACTTTGATAATATGTGATAATCAGATGGGGAAGAAAAGAAATATTCAACCTCCGTCAATAATGCCAGGGCGGATAAAAGTGGAAATAAAAGATGAAATAGGTAATAATGCTTGAAATGGTAATAACTTTGAAAAAAGTACAAGCTATTAAAAGTAATAATAATTGTTTGTGTTATTGAGTTGTAAATATAGTTTGGATTATGTTTATATAGGAGATAGTGATATCTTAGTAGCAAGGGATCGTTTGAAAGGTGCTCTTCGAGAATTATTACAACATAGTGATACAGGTTCATCAGGGGACTCAGGCGAAGAAAGTTCTGCTCAGGATTATAAACATTCAATAAAAAAAATGTAAAGTTCAAAATATTTTATATAAAGTTATCTCTGTCCAGGATCATTAATTTTTTATATAATTACAATATGCAGGACAAAATCTATTAATTCTCAACAACCACGAAAAGTCCGACGTCGCCGACAAGTACAAACTGATACAGCATTTCATCATACATATGTAATGAAACTATTTGATCGCAGTGTTGATTTAGCTCAATTTCAAGAAGACACACCACTTTATCCTATATGTCGTGCTTGGATGGCTAATCAACCAAGGAATCCTAATTTGGTCCCTAAGTAAGTAAAATTATATAAATTTGTTTATGTATTATTTATATTCAGATTTGCTTATATTATATTTAAGTTTTTAATACTATATTATTTAGGATGTTACATATTGAATGACATGAATTCTCATATATTATGGCAGTTGAATATTATTATATTTTTTTTATTATTATAGTATTTTTATATATATAATATATGTGATCTCTTATAAAATTCCATATGTATATCTTAAATTCAAAAAATTATATGTATATAACAAAAATAATATACATTATATACATATAATGTTTGTATATGTATGGTGTGTGTGTAAATGTAAAATGTGAATACATGTAATAATGATTTAGTTAAATTATCACAGAAGTATTCTTAGTTTCTCTCTCTTTCTCTGTATACATATTCTATATTTCTATATAGAACTAAGATAAATATATTAATTTGTATAAAGAATACGTAGTCCAAGTCCAGAAATAGTTAATGAAGTCAATATAACAAATAATTTAATTGATGCTAATGGAGAGCTAAATGATGTCCATTATTTACCAACTCCTTTACCTCGTGAGGAGGCCATACCAAGAAATCGCATTCCATCTCCTATACTCGCAGAAAAGGACGAACTGAACTTAGATTACGTGAGTAAACAATTTTGACAAATATTTGAAGTTTAAATTTATTAATATTAAAACAGTATATATAAATAAATTGTATTAAACTTTTAAAAATAAGAAAAGTAAATATATGTATATTGTTCATATTTTCTGTTATTTATATATTTTAACAAATAAAAATTGCATGTAACATAATTACAGGAAGGCCAAACTCTTAAATCGCGGGAGCAATTAATGAAGGAGCATACTACACGATGGAATGCTATTCGCAAAAAATGGCATCAGCAAGCCCATAAAAATGAACAACGTTATATACAGAGTGCTACTATACTTAGCACCATTTTTACAAAGTTTGTGTACAAATTTGTCTATTAATAAGAAAAAAATGATTTTTCTTCGATAAAAATTATCGTGATAGTAACTAATCTTATACTATTTACTATAATTATAAGATGTTATATGTATAATTTTATTCTATGTATATATATATATATATAAAACTTTAATTGTTTTAGGGCGCAAGCAGAGTTTGAATAGCAGAAATATGGCAGTCCAATGACTGCCAATTCTTGTATAACTGATAATTCCATTTGTAATAATTTTTATTACGTCGTCAAGGAATAATTTCTTATTTGTCTTGTTTTTCAACATAACTTCATTGGTAAATGCAAAATGGGGCTATATTTATACACGTCTTATATGAATGAAGTTTTTATTTATAATGCCCATAAGAAAGTTGTAATCATATTTTAACAACATTACAAAATATTGAATTCTGACTTTAATATAAAAGAACATTATAATACTTGTAACTTTATTCTCTTTTAATAAAAGTACACAATATATAATAATTTTTTTCATTGAAACACCATATTTTACTACGAGCTTATGCATACATACACAATCCTCTAATATAGTGTATCAATCAAATAACATGTAAAAATAAAATTTACTTATCTTAAATATAAATATCGTTAATCTGTGCTTATATAAAATTTTGTATGCTCAATTTATTTTTTCGCATTAAACTTTGGAAGGGGATGAACACATATTGATAAATACTTATATGTAATTCCTAATAATTCATTATATATCATTGTATTGAAATATTACATACAATTGTTATTGTAGATATGAAAAGGGATCTTCGTAAAAATGTTTGATTTAAAATTATGATTATTTTTCTGTATTCTAATTGTAATTATTATTGTGCACTATATAAATGCATAGAAGTAGAGATTAAAACTGAGGACAAAGGACCAGACGAATAATTCTTGAAGGCTTGAGAATTACATGCCTTTTATTGTAGATATTAACAGTCATAACTTACATTATTTACTTTCAGTTAATAGGATTTACACAAACGCTATTTGATTATTTGTCAATTGTGACTGTACTTTTTTCTTAAAGAGCAATTGTAATTTTCAAGACTTCCCTATGTACTTATTAAAATGTCTAGATTTCATTTCGTTTTATATAAAAATGTAGCTAAGAGAGAGAGAGAGAGAAAGAGAGAGAAAGAAATAAATAACATAATTTAAATTATTAACTTGATTAACTATTACTATATTATTTTCATTTTTTGACTTGTATCAACTATTATTCTCCAATAACAAATGTTCATTGTAAGCAACATTATTATTCCTTAATGTACTTTGCAATCTATAAATTGTATAGGAAATGATTTTTTCATACAGCCTCAAGACGAGACTGGAAGATTTTTTATGTTTTTGGAAGTATACTGTAATAAATTTTTTATCACTATTGCACACACACTTTGGAAGTTTATTTGTCTGTCAAAGATAGTTCTAGCACTTGGCGAAAAGTTTCTTCTTCTAACAATCGTCGTTGCTCCTCTTCTATTTGTTGTTGCTCGGAAAGTTTTAATGCTAATCTCAATTGTTCTGCTGTGCCTTCTAAAGAGTCACTATCTTCATTTTCATTTATACCCGCTGAATTTGTAGTACCTTCGGCAGATCCAGTTGTTTCTTGATATAACACTAAGCTAGCCTGAATCGCCCTGTATAATAAAAAATTTAATTATTTATACATAATTCCAATTTGACGCAATTTTTTTTTCAGATTTTTAAAATATATTATAAAGTCTAATCAATGTAGTTTGTATATTTAGGAATAAATTTCCTAAATTTGCTAATAATTTACCTGGAATTAATATTTTTACAATAAAATCACCCACCTGTCTGAACATTAATTGTAGCACAAAAATACATGCACAAAATTAATAATAAAATATATTTTCTCAATGATAACATTTACTAAAAACATAACACATGAATAACATTCTTTTTAACATGTTTATTGTATACCTCTGAAGTTGCCTTTCTTCTTCAGTAGCCATATTAGGTGTAGTTGGTCTAGATGGCTTTTGTGCTTTTAATGCTTCCCATATATCAACCTATGTAAAATATTTTCCATGTAAAAAAATAGAGATAATCATATCTTATATATATATATATATATATATATATATATATATATATATATATATGTATATATATTACAGATGCAAGAAAACTTTGATAATTGTATAAACACACAAAAAAAAAAGATACCTCATCACGTTCACTGCCAGCTTCTAGAAGACTTTGCTGAATAGCAAACTGCAACAAATCATCTTCCTCTTCAATACTAAATTGTGTTCTGACTTCTGCACCTATGTTCAAAAGTAATGTTCATTAAATACCAATTGATATATGTAGAACATAATGCATAAATATTAAACAAAAATTTTACCCAATTTCGTATATCCATTAGGTGCCTCAAAACAAATATCATCGACTAAGCAAGTTATACGATTAGTTTCTTGTAAATGGCCCACATGTGGTACTTCTTGATCCAACCCAAATATATTTCCAAATGTTATTCTTGCATTGAGAATATGAAATAAGGGAATTTCTAGAAAAAGATTATTAATATATTATATGTGATTATATTACATAATTACTAATATCCATCATATATAATAATAATAAATTAAGGTCAACCAATTTTAAAAGATAATATAAATAAGATCGTACCAATTTTAACGGGAAAACCAGCTGGAAGTTGCATTTGAATAAAATCTTTCAATTTTGCAAAATGTGAACTAGATATAGCCATTAAATCTACAATTGGCATAATTTGTTCTTGAAGACTCAATGGATAATCTTCACTTAACCATAAAGTTGCCTAAAAATAAAAAAGTTTAAATTAGTAACAATTATAACAATATTAATACACGTAAATTTACTGAACTAAATTAAATAGTAACTCATTAAATTATAACGTATAATTATAATAGATATATGTCTCTCTTTATATATATATATATATATATATATATATATATATATATATACACAAAATATATAATAGATTTTTATATCGATTTGTAGTACCTTAAATTTTTGAATTTTTGTATTAATTTCTTTTGGTCGACCTATATCTCTCCCATTTAGATCAACGGTTGGATCAAAGTATTCTTCAATAGTAATATTAGAGGGATTACCTATGTTATTAAATTCTTCCTAAAATATATAATTTGACTATAATATATTTGTTTATATTTATGTGTATGTGTGTGTACGCACATGTGTTCGTGAGTGTGTGCGTGTGTGTGCGAGTGTGTGCGTATGCATATAAAATTACTCTGTGATTAAATATTATTATTATTGAGAAAAAAATTACACTAGTAGTTATAGCGCTGCAACTCTCCTGTTGTTGCTCTGCAATACCAAGAAATGATTGTAAAGGTGTTCTCGGTGCCCGAGCTCTTGCTTTATCTGCTTCGGATAAATGCTCCAATCGCGTTTTAGTTATTAATTCCACATTACTCGCGCTAAAAACTTTACATTCGTGACCATTTACTACTTCGCTTTTATCGGAACGCCATCCCCATAGACCTGCTTTATTGCTAATTTAACATATTAATAATATTTAATTAATAAAATAATTTTAAAATGGAAATATTGTGTCATGAATTATTATAATGATAAATACCGTTCAAAACTAATTTTATCTGTATCTATATACGTCGTAACTATAGGATTAGTAAGTCGAGCTATCACGCCTTCTTCAGATGGTTCCATTAATTGTATATTATCATCTCCTATAAGTTTCATATGTTCAACATAAACTTTTCTGGTTTCATGGTCTACTTCCATCATCGTTGCCCCATCATCTATAAAAATATCATATAAATTTTTTAGATTATATTTATATTGCATATTATATGAATAATTCACATAAATATTGAATTTTAAGAAAAGAAAAATTCCCCATTTTAATATTGTATTATGTGTGTTATACCAACGTATTTCAAAATATGTCTTATATTATTTAGTTGCCAATTTATTAGATTATAATCAATATAAATTAAATAAAATGAGAAAAAAAACATGAGAAAAATTATATAATGTTTATATAAAAAAAAAGTCTCCTTTGTTGATCCATATTAACATCTTTATTAAAATTCTAATATATAATGCCTATATTAAATGTTAGAATCATATCACCTGTATTATGACCACCCACACTGAACACATAACTGCGTTCACATCTAATTGCCAAAGGTGGATTTGATGCAGCTTGCGTTATACATATAGAATTTAGTAACAAACAAATAAAATTGTGGCATTTCCGAAATATAATAATCAATCAATTTAAAAAAAATAAAGTTATAAAACAACCATGCACAGTTAGTAATATTACAATGTTTATTAAAAATATTTATATACTTACTCTGTCCTTTGAAGACATAACTACGATTGCCACGTTGCCAATTTGCATGATCAAAACCTAGCAAAGTAGTATCTATCCTCACATTACTACCTTGTTTGTAAACTTTATAGGTATCGCTTGGACACATCCGAGATGCAAGAGGAACTGGGCAACAAAAATAATAGCAGTTAATCATATGTGTTATAAAAAAGAATGAAAATATATGTTAAAGTATTAAATTCAAATTATGGATTAGTTAAATTAACCAACAATATAGCAGGTTTTAAAAATTACAGATAAAAATCAATATTATTAAATCATTTATTCTTACCCCAACTTGTAAATTCCCATTTCATTTCTACATAAAAATCAGGTGCCTGAAAAAGATTTTTGTTGTTAGGATTATTAAATTAATAATTAAGAATAAAAGAAAGTCAATATCATTATTTCTTACATAATTATCCATACAAAAAATATAAATTAATTTAATTTAATCTTAACAAGTAATTTTTCAATCATCAAAAAAAAGTAAATATTCTTCAGAAATAGCTATATTGAATTTTAACAATATATTTAGTTAAATTGATGACTGACCTGTTTAAGTTTGTGAAGTAACTCTGGTATACCAGCAACTCGATTACAATATCTCTGATAATCTCTCCTAGCAAGCACTAATTGTAGCAATTCAGGATTCCCTGTACCCACTGCTTCTTGGACCACTGTTTTAAAACAAATTAAACTGATTATTTATATATATCCTTTGATGTAGCAGTAAACATAAATTTGTTCAAAATATAAATGTCTTATTATAAATAGATAATAGCAAATTACCACTCCATCCCTGAGTATTCTCTGTATTAACATTAGCTTCATGTTGTAATAAAACTACAGCAGAATCTGCATGACCTAAAGTTACTGCTAGCATTAATGGTGTCCTTCCTCGATTGTCATGTTTTTCTATATCGTGCTAGAAAACATTTAAATATTTGTATATAATTAATATTTCATGTTACATCAATATAGTTAACAAAAAGAACAAATTTTGACTCATATCTTAAATATCTTTACCATACTACCTAATAAAATAATTATTATAGTGATATTATATCTTTATTTTTTGTCAATATTATAAGAAGTTAAAATAATATATCAAGTATCAAAAATATGCCATGTTAAAGTATAACAAATTGCTTGACTGTATCTCAGTAATACAATATCAAGAGTCACGCAAATCTTTACATACGTAAGGTTTCTCTCTTTTTATAAGAGGCTTCAGACACGTCTTTTAATATAAGATACTATACAAACTTGGACCAATGTATACGCATGAATTAAAAAAATATAATTATAAATTTAAAATTGTTTAAAGATATGACAATGATATGATAATATATTGTTCAAAACATTATATAAATATAATACTTTATCATATATATTGTGTTTATAGCTGATAAAGCTATTCCTATAAGTCATTATAAATATAAATATAATTGTTCCTATCTATCTTATCAATGTATAAATTAATCTTATCCATATCTTATCAATGTATAATATTTATCTCAAAGAAAGTATGTAGCCACAATTAATAGAAACAATTTTTATTTTCATTATCTTTTGATGATACCTTCGTAACATGTAGTGTTTATAATATTTACTTTGCATATTTGCCATTCAAACAGAATTATTTTTATTGAGAGAGAGAGAGAGAGAGAGAGAGAGAGAATTTATATGTATAAAATAAAAATATTAATTTTGTTAATATATGAAAAAATAAGATGTATAATTATTATACATAAACAAAGTATCACAAACACAGTAGAAAAAAATATCTACGATAGCCTGACATTTATATTGTATGCCTCATAAAGAGCTATAATTATCGTGATCAGCTGATAGATTCACATAGAACGTTATTTTTAAAGTATTGTAACATCAATCTGGATAAGTAATATATGAAAAGAGCACACTAAATAAAGTACTTTAAAGTGACAAATACATCATTTTAACTGCTAATAGAATATGTATAATAAAATTCATCACTATCGATTTACATCTAACAATTACGCAATTATCTTATTGTAAGATATTAATTACACTGAAAAAACTTATTTTCATTGATAACTAAATTGTTAACATGGAATACATAGAAGAAGATATAAACCACAATCGGTAAATACGAATTAAACCGCATTTCGTATTAATTATGTTTTGTGCAGTCTCATATGCTTCGTGGGGACTCTAATATCAAATGAAATGAGTTGCAATTAAATGGAAAGTCTGTTGCAAACCTGATTTGTGGATAGTTCCTTGTCGAGTTCTACATAGCTGTTATGCCAAACAAGCCAGTGTAGTGGATAATTCTTTCGTATAGTATCTATATTCACCATTTCTACGAGATCTGATTAACATTAACATGCAATAATGTTTATTGTAACAAATACCACGAGTCGAGCGCGCGATATGAAATTTTGACAGCGGAATACATGACATTAGGCGAAAAAAGTATCGGTCATTGAATACGTGGTATTTGAAAGAGACACGTCAATATGCAGAGATACTGAATTACAATAGTTTTGAGTTGTGTTCAAGAATCTACTTATCAGATAGAATGGCGTTTGACTGACCTATCAGGATAAGAGAGTCTCCCTTCTTTTTGATTTGATTCGTCATTTCGATGCTACTCTACTCCTATGAATAGATTTTCGAACACAACGCAATAATCGAAGGATGAGCGGGAAAATTTAAATATTCAAGCTGTAAAATTGGCGCCGAGTATTGCTAGCTAATTTCAAAATTTTTTTAAAATGCCATTTAATTGTATAAAGAACCAAAATAATGTTACCCTATTTTTAATTATCTTACATTATTATTTATGTATAAAATATACCAAAATAACGTTCTCCTATTTTTAATTATTTTACATAATAATGTAAGATAATTAAAAATAGGAGAACATTATTTTAGTGTATTTTATATATTTATTTTATATATTTTACATATTTATATATTTATTTTACATATTTGTAAAATTGATAGCACTATTTCTCAATTGCAACAATTTTTCCTTTTTTTAAATTCGTAATAACAATACATATTATGGATATTTTTTATGTGTATCTTACAGAAAACTCGATTTATAAAACGTTAATTTACAACATTTGATTACATCTTTCTGTGAAAAAAATTGATTTATCAAAATGCATGCATCATATCTACAAATACATACATGTATCCGACAAAATTAGTGTGATGAATTTACAAGGAAAATTTGTACAATATTTATATAAATTTATTTAAAAAAGTAAGATATACTTGTATTCGCGTATGTACATTATTTTGAACTTTTACTTTATTTTAGGGAATACGAAATCATACGTAATTACATAATAATCGTGAGATTAATATATAAAATTAAGTATCGCACCGTGTATACGGCTATATTTACAGGCACGTGTTACAATGAGAAAAAATATTTTTGCCCTCCTAGACGGGGCAGGCGCGGGAAGGGGGGAGGGAGAGAAGGAGAAGGACGGCAATTTACAACACGAACTGGAAAAGATCGCCTTTACGAACACTTACGAGTGAAGTTACACGAATGAACGCGCCGAGCTCCCGGATCGCCGGGCACCGATTGACGTCACCGATAGAGGCGGCCAAGATGGTTGTCAATGTTGATAAGTGGTTTGGTTACGCGGAGGAGCTGCAGTGACTAACGTCGCGTCCTGACTGCGGAGTCGGGCCTGGCGGCCGGCCAGTTATGCCCGTGAAATAAGAGGGTTCCCGTCCTCCCCGGTGAGGATCCGCGCGGTTTTCGGATCGAGCGTTGCGCGCGAGGAATGGCGGACGGCGAGGAGGAGATACGACGTGCCCTAAAGGACGTGCAGTCTATGATCGACGTCTGCGCCGAACGACTCGAGGGCCTGCGGACCCAATGTTCCACCAGCGCGGAGCTCACCCAGCAGGAGATAAGGACGCTCGAGGTAACGGAGTCTCGACGATAATCGGGCCCCCGTTGCCACCTGATGACCCTCGATAAGCGGTTCCTCTCCCGGCGCTTTCTGTTGTTGTATCGCGATGTGTTGATTGTCAACAAATTGTCAACAATTTATACCGTCGTGTCTGTATCGCCGTTTGTATCCGGCGAATTGCTGGATGATGATCTCGACGGAGAGTTCGCGATTTAATTTCACCTCGTTGCGCTCTGATCATATGCAATACCTTGATTTTTCAGGATGTTTGCTTCTTATTTTCATAATCTACGATTGAAAAATTTGAAAATTTTGATATGGTTGAGCATGGTATTGCGATACCATGCCTTTATCATAATTTCTTTTTATGGAAAGGTAGATATTGAGAGATCATCTATAATTTTTCTGGGTTTATAATATGACATTTATGATATATATAGTTTGGAAGCATAGACTATAAAATTTAATTTACATTGTATCATATATAATATAGCACTTTGTTTGAGTATGCCTATCTTGAAGTATTATAATTAACTGATAATTGTAAAAAAAAACTTTAACAAAACTTGGATTTAAATAAAATTAATATGTATATAAATAAGTAATATATACTTATAATTTTCTTTGTGAAGCAATAATATTTATATTTTGTGTTACAATAACTGTAACACAAAAAGTAAAACTTATATATATTTAAATATTATTTGTAGGGGAAATTGATAAAATTATACTCTAAACAACTTGTGACAAAGGCCAAATTAACCGATTTAGCAGAGATGAGACAATATCCGTCGTTACAACAATGGCTACGGGTAGTAGGTCTCACCCAGGAATCGATTCAGGTAATAATGTACAGAGATATGAGCAGATTCTTTACAATTCATTTGTTATACAATTTATTGTATGTGTGCAAAATTTTACTCCATATCTCAATTTAAAAATTAAGTTATAATTTCTCTTCATAATATTTTATTGTAATAATTCTAGATGGTCTGTAACAAAGCTAGTTCCCTTGAGGCCCTGAAAGAAAAGTCTGAGCATGAATTGAGCAGCATGCTAGGTGAAAATAATGTGCGCCGTGAGGAGGAACATCGTAGGCTCTGCAGAGCATTACATAATTTACGGCGATATACAGGTGAATAAAATCTGTTTTAGGAAAAAACAATATATTTTTTTTGTCTAAATATTTTTTTCTCTAAAAAATAATATATATTTTGTTTCATGCTTTGTCAGATGTTCTTATAAAAGGAGACATGGAAAACAGTGACATGAATTTATATTGGGATTCTTGGGATAGACATCATTTACGCACAGGAGCCTCTCCTAGGCCCATTCGATCTCGCACTACACGAAGTTCTGTTCCATCAGAAGATAGCATTCCATATCATAATAACAATAATCTCAATAGCGATATCTTGGCACAAGCTTCTTCTGTAATATCTTTGATGTCAACTAGTCCTCCTTGTACCCCTCTATTGCAGCAAAGGCAAAAATATGGTAAATATGAAATTTATTTTAGAACTTTTTAGAATTATCTTTTTAATTATTTTTTGTGCTCCACTATGTTTTAAAAATTATATTAGTCAATTTTTAATATAACACTAAAGTGTCACTGAAAATATATATTTGATATATACTTAGGTATAAAATGTCTATTTCCTATATAAAATTAAGCATTTGGAAATTATATTTGAATCATCCATATATTTTGTTTTCAAATATATCTAATTTCTATTAAATGTGAAAAGCATTCCTGAAATCTAGTGTTTTAGCATCTAATTTAAGCAACTTATATTCACTATATGTATACAATAAATTTTTTTTAATTATAGGAACTAAATTTCCAACAACTCCTCCTCCATGCAAGAAGCATCAGATTGGTGTGCAAAGTAGCACATCACAACCTGAAGTGTTTCCATTAACTAAGTCAAAATCTCATGAATCACAATTAGCAAATCGTCTTGAAAATATACAACTTGATAATGATGATACTTCATCTAGGTAATTTATTATATAATCTTTTAGGTATATATCAATTTAATATTATATATTATTCTCATTTTATGATAAATATTACTTTCACAAATCTAGTTTAATATAAAATATTTGTAAATTACATATTCTAATGTATTATTCTATACTTTTAGTTCTGGAAATGACTCTTCTGTAGGAAGAAAAAGTGATTCCACTATAAAAAGAAGAAATCGTCTACCAACAGAACCAAGTTCATGCTGTAGTACGACAGACTTTATGAAAGCAGAGAGTCTCTTGCCAAACAGTAATAGTCCTATTAAATCTCCACCTTACACTAATCCAGAAAATGATGATAACTGTTTTAAGGGAACAGGTACATGAAAGAAAAACTTTATTTTAACATTATCAATAACTTAATGCAATATTTTATTTTATTTTATTTTTAGTAACAAGTCTCCAAGTGCCAAAATCTCCACGTACTCCGACTATGACTCGGACCATGGGTCATATAATTGCTCATCGCTTTACCAAAACTTTTAACATGATGGCAACTAGATGTGACTACTGTGAAAAGCCGATGTGGGGATGGGGCACTATTTTAAAATGCAAGGAGTGTAAATATAAGTGCCACCGGGAATGTGAATCCAAAGTACCTCCCTCGTGTGGCCTACCTCAGGAACTCTTTAATGAGTTTAAACGAACTCTACAAGGTGATGGTATGTATAAACTTTGCAATTTTAATAGTACTCATAAAAGCGCTTGATTTCTTTTTTCATGTTGCTTTTAAATTTCATTACAATGAGATTTTAAAGTAATATGGTATAAGATACATTAAGTTGATGAAAAATAAATTTTTTTAGGTATAAATGCTTCCCCAATATTAAGCAAGCCTGGCATAACATCTCCGAATCATCATAATCCAAATTTATTAAAAAAAGACCGAAGACGGTCACATGCACATGCTTCTATGAATATACCTTTTCAGGTATATTATAATCTACAACTATAATATTTCTTTTTATTTTTTTAATTTTTTTTTTAGTAAACTTTGACAAAGATATAAACAAATTTTTATATATAATGGTGTAAATGTTGACATTTCATATTAGTGGATTATTTTTCATGATTTTCTATAAATATAAACGAAATAATAGAGAAAGATTCCAGATATTTATATATATTTAATAATTATTTATATTTTATTAGACTCCAGATTCTAGTTCAAATACCTCGAGCTGTAACAGCTCAACGCCTTCTAGTCCAGCATTGCTACCTGCCAATACTACCCAGACTCCACAGGCGCCTGTCAAACAACAATTCTATTTTCCAGGTAAAGAAAAAAAGCATTTTTATAGGTTGTTGTTTTATCGGATTGAACGCGTTATTTATTTTATTTACAGATGTACAGAATGAAAAAGGAGTGACACATGAAACGCACAGATTTGAAGGTACAACTATGTCAAGTGATAGTGACAGAACAGTAAGTGTTTCTGGATCTGGTAGTGTCAGTACAGATTCAGAAAGGACACCGGTGAGAGTTGATTCTCAAGATTCTCAAGTTTCTGATAGTGAAATACCTGGGGATATAAGTCGTTGGCCTCGACAAAATAGCGTATGTGTTACATTTCATTAAAAATAAAATCTTGATACAAATGTGAAATGTCTGATAAGAATAAATTTTATGTCTTGTTTTTTTTTTTAATCACAGTTGTCGATGCGAGAATGGGACATTCCATACGATGAATTAAAGATTGGAGAACCAATCGGAACGGGAAGATTTGGTACAGTATATAGAGGCAATTGGCATGGAGATGTTGCAATTAAAGTCATAAATATGGATTATTATTTAGACAATGATAAGATATTAGAAGCATTCAAATTAGAGGTAAAAATATACATATTTACTAGTTAAAATTAAATTCGGAATTTCATAATAATGAGAAATATTTTATTTTGATTATTATAGGTAGGCACATTCCGAAAAACACGACATGAAAATTTAGTTTTATTTATGGGTGCTTGTATGAAACCTCCTCGATTAGCTATAGTGACTAGTATGAGTAAAGGCATGACACTTTATACTCATATTCATTTACGAAAGGACAAATTTAATACGAATAAAACTACTATTATAGCTCAACAGATTTCTCAGGTATGTATGATTTGCATAAATATTTTTCAAGTTATTATATATATTTATATCCATATAATTATACTAGCATTTGAATAAATATCATAAAAAGGATATTAAAAATATGTATATATAAATTGTAACATAAGTATAAAAAATGTTATTTATATGTAAAAGCATGCTATAATAATTCTTTCACTGTTATGTAATGTGTATTCATGTATTTTAAGTAATAATTTTATCTTATAGGGTATGGGATATCTCCATGCTCGTGGCATAGTACACAAGGATCTTAAAAGCAAAAATATATTTTTAGAAAATGGAAAAGTTGTAATAACAGACTTTGGTCTATTCAGTGTTACAAAGTTGTGCTATGGAAATAGGTAAATTTATATCTTGTAGAATAAAATTTATTCTCATTAGATAAGTTATACTTTTATGTTACTCTATTAAGATACAAACTTATCTCACATATATATATTTAGGAAAGGAAATGGACTGAATATACCACCTGGTTGGTTATGTTATTTGGCACCTGAGATTGTTCGACGACTGAGACCGCAACAAAACCGAGATCAGGAAGAGTTACCATTTACAGCTGCTTCTGATGTTTATGCATTTGGGTTAGTATATTATCTTTTACAAGATTCACACTTTGAAAATTATATATATTTAAATATTTCTAATGTTTTATTAAGAAAAATATAATAAATATAATAAAAAATATAGTAAAAATATAATAATAAATATAGTAAAAATATAATAATAAATGCGTGCGCATAAACACAAAGCAATAAAGATTGTTAGCAATAGAAATTGTTTAAAAAGATACTTTCTGATAGGACTGTCTGGTACGAATTATTATGTGGTGAATGGCCATTTAAAGGTCAACCTCCCGAAGCAATTATTTGGCAAGTTGGAAAAGGAATGAAACAACCTTTAGCAAATTTGCAAGCTTCTCGTGATGTAAAGGTATATACATGTTTAAAATGTATATATAATTAAGCATCATTATTTTATAAATTCCGTGCACTATTTATAAAAGTTGCAGAAACTTTATAATTTTTTTTTAGGACATTTTGATGCATTGTTGGTCATACCATGCAGACAAACGTCCTGATTTTACAAAGCTGTTAACTACACTTGAAAAGCTGCCTCGCAAAAGGTTAGCACGTAGTCCTTCTCATCCTATACATCTTTCTCGTTCTGCGGAATCTGTGTTTTGAACATTTAAGTCTATTTAAATACGCTGTTGTTCTTGTAGTGTAAATATAGAACTGTGCAATTATTGCCAGATCTTTGTTCGTGAAGAGTAAAATAAAAGTCACTGAAAGGGTTTGCTCTCGTTTGTATTATTAATTTATTAAAATGTGCAATGAAAGAATATTGATGTTAATAATTGAGATTGTTAATAAATTGTTTTAAATTAAATATGTATCTTTTATTGTGAATAGATAGAGTCATGATAGTGAAAAAAAAAGGTTTAGGAGTATGCACACTTATATATAAGTAAGTAAAAAAGATTTAGGAGTATGCACACTTATATATAAGTATGTATAATTTATATTTAGATATATGTAAATCTATACTTCTCTGAAATTTACAAAGAAACTGCAGACTCTTACACAAATATATAATTGTCAACAAATTTTTTTTATGTATGCTATGAAATAGTTCTTCAGTGCACGTTTTAAAAAATATAGGTTCAACTCTATTTTTTTCTCAGGTAATATTGTAAATATATTTTATCAAGAATAGTGTAGGCAAGTGATAATTTATTTTAAATAAATTCTATGTTATAAATAGATGAGAGAATTCTCACACAAAAAACAGATAAATACCTTTAAATTTAGTAATAATTTTGTTTTCAAATATATAAAAAAACAATATTATATAATTTTACAAGTTTATATTATTTAAAACATAATACATCGAGATTATTTGTCCCAAATATTTCTTTCACATATTCGATGTATTTTAAAACAATCTCTCTGTAAAAATCTTGGATATATATGGTTTTACAAATTAATCATTAATCATTTGATATAAAAAAACATCTAAATATTTCTTAAATATTTTATTTGAAATCTTATTATTTGTGTGTATGAATAATTGTGACAAAAATATATTTCTAAATTTGTTCTTATTCTCTGAAAAAAGGCTATCAGTTAGAAGAACTGTTTTACAAAATGTACAGATATTTATAGAGTTTTATTTATGTTACATCAACGTTCTTCATGTAATATTATATTTTATAAATATTATTAATGAAATAATTTTTACTTGATATTTAAAATGAATGAAAAAATAGAAACAACAGAAAGCATATACATCGTATATAATAAAATACTTATTGATATGTTACATTCTGTTTTCAATGAATTATTCAAATAACTATGATGTTCAATTTATTTAAATATTTATCTTTATTTGAAATCTTATTTTTATTACTCAACATAGTTTTGATGAACAGATTATTCATGCTCACAAATAAATTTTAATTTATATCATGATATAACTACATTTTCTCTTAAAAAAAATTTATCCATTACACATTTTCTGTAACTCCTGTAATTGTCTTTGAAGATGCGTGGCACGCAATTTATTCAATGCTATTCTCTTTTCAAATGTTTGTACCAAAGGCTTTGTAATAATATCTGTTATATGAATCAACGCTCGTGTTCTGACTGAAAGGAAAATTATTTATATTCCTTGAGATTTGTTACTTTAACTTACTTTCGTATTATCAAAAATTATGTATATATATATATATATATATATATATATATATAATGTATATATATATATATATGTATATATGTATATATGTATATATATATATATATATATATATATATATATATATAAAATTATATTATTTAAAACAGTATGTAGTTATATAAGTTGTTATATTATTTATAAGTTGTTAAAATATTTTATTAATCTAAACACACATTATATTCTTTTTACTATAATAATATTCTAATATAAAATAAACAGAATGATACATACCAGCATTATTATGAATACTGGCAAGGACATCTGGATGATCTTTACAAGCTTCAGCCATATCTTCTTCTTCCTGTACCAAAATTTTTGATAGGTCTGTCATTGTCTGTAACAGTATTTACTTTCAGATAAAAGACACAATTTTTTGTGTCTCTAAATTGTCTTGTGCACTCTAAATTTCCCTATGACAAATAATTTTAAAATCTTACTCTCAAACATCTATCTGAAATATCTGGAGTATGTACTATTTCCAATGGTATTTCTGTAGCTTCACCATTATCTGATTGAAAGCAATTTAAAAAGATTTCATGTTCCTATAAAAAAAAATCATTATTATATGATGTATCATTATAATTTATCTATGTCAATAACTTAATATTTTATAAACTTATCATTTGTCTCTCACTCTCACACACACACACATATATATATATATATAAATTTAAAAATTCTATAATATTGCTTAATTATTTATAACAATTGATTTAATAAAATCAAACAAATTTCCAGTGATATGAGCCGTTTCCATGTATTTTATGAATGTTGATGCAAATATTAAGATGAGAAAAGTATATGTACCTTTGATTCTTTTCCCTCTGAAAATACTGAAAATATCAAGCCTACAAAGCTGTGATCCATTGTTTGATAAGTAGCCTGAGTTCTGACATCTATATAAAATAAAATAAAAATAATGAATGTAAGAAGAATTGTTTATATAGAATTTATATTAACATTTATATTACTTAAACATTTTGAAAAGAAATATTTGTAATACATACCAACATGTGATGGGCAAACTGTAATATGTGGATGTGAGTGATACCAGCCGAGAACACGCATAGGTCGATTTAATTCTACTGTTAATCGTTCAGCTTCAGCAGCAGCTTTCAATAATTGCTCAGAAGAAATTTCTACCCTATCTTTCTTTTTGTCTAAACGCCGTAAAATGATAACAGCTGATATTTTAGCAATTCCACAAGCAAACTAAAACACGAGTGATTAATATTCTACTTGTTTCATTAATTTAAAAAATATGAGAAAAAAAACGTTAAAAATGTTAAAATGATCTAAAACATACATTGCCAATTAATAAACCCATCACTTCAAAGTTTTCGGTTGATAAGGCATGTTGCAAACATACCATATAGACATCTGTTTGCAGCTCTACTTTTTGCAACGAGGAATCATCCATTGTTTATATAAAGATATTAAACCTGTAAGATAACAGATGTAAATTATATTTACAAAATATAACTATTGCATCTGATATATATATATATATATATATATATATATATATATATATTGCAAAAATATTACAGTCAGTTTATTAAGTTCATGAAGCAAAACAAGAATATAATTTTAAAACAACGACGAATTAATAATTCCATCTGAATTCTAAAAATTATCCGTTTTTTACGATAGAAAAAATGTAACAATACATATTAGTATTACATGTACATACAATTAATTTATTAAAACAACATAACCTCTCTTTTAAATTAATATTTCCCATACTTTGATATTATTGAATATATATATTTTTTGAGTTATTCTTTTATTTTGCTTCTAATTAATATAATTAAAAATACACTGATACGTACTTTACTACTGTGTAATCAAATGTAAAAATCTTTTCGTCGGTTCAATAAATCTTTAAATCCTTCGTTTTGATCTGACGCTCGTTAAAAATGTCTCATCTGACATTTATTATTGTTGTTATTATTATTTAGCGCAACAGCGTTGGATCACAATTAATCAGCAATTCATAACAAATTGACGAATGAGATAGCTCCCTTTCATTGCTCGCTAAAAGCAAAACAGCATACTCGAAGAGGAGTGGATCCAAAGGTGAATTCTTCTCCCATGAAGAGACGATTTGTTTTATATATGTCGTCTGGGATAGAAAATGAATAAAAACTCTTGTTGACAAATCGGTACTTATTGATTTTGATTGACACCGATTTATATGCCGTTCGTATCTCTATAACTATACAACGTAATACTTATACGCCGTCGCAATTTGTCGCAGCGACGTGTCCGATGTATGTATATTTTATTACGCACGGCACTCACGGAAGCACACACGGACCGAAGGAATATTTAGCTCACGTTTAGCGCGTAGTGTAGTGTATGTACAGGTGCACACACATGTGTATATTTATATATGTGCACCTCTGATTGCTTTCGATCCCACTTTGGAGTTCAATTAGAGGTGGTGTGATGCGCGTGGTGTGATGCTCGAAAGATGCCTGCGATCAGTTTTTTGTCTTCTTACAACGAGGTAACGTCAATAAGCCAACGCGAGGTTATGTCCTGGGGACAGTCGGCTATCGTTAGAGATAATTTGTTAATTTGCAAATCACATATTATTATTTCCAACGCAGATAAGAACGGGAATGCCAAAGATTTTGTCGCGTCATGGTAGACGATAAAGCGTCAATCACGGAAACCAGGTATCGTATGGTAAATGTGACTCGGGACGACGATTCGAGGGAAACGCAACAACGTGTAAAAACAACGATGCCTTCGGAACTGAGGTCGATCAGCGCGAGCGACTGGATTACAGTCGCCGTTCTCTGTTTCGTAAATCTTATAAATTATATGGACCGTTTTACGATCGCCGGTGAGTCTCGAACACACTGGGATTAAAGACATTTTATAAACATGAATATAACATACTTTATAAACATGAATATAACATATTTTATAAACTTGAATATAACTTTTACTTCTTCAACATACATTTGCGAGCAAAGTTAATTTTCTGCTCTAGGGGTACTGACCGACATTAAAGATGATTTTAGTATTGGTAATGATATGTCTGGACTACTACAAACTGCATTTATCTTGAGTTATATGATATTCGCACCATTATTTGGATACCTAGGAGATCGCTATAGTAGAAAATTGATTATGAGCGGTGGTGTATTTTTATGGTGCTTAACAACATTTATTGGTTCTTATATGAAGGTAAGTAACTTTTTCTATATAGAAAAGTGAATCTGGTATAGAAAGAATAAATTTATAATCAAGAAATAACCAATAATATAAAAATTTTATATTAGAAGTATTGAATGCTCAACAGATTTAATTATATATTACTATGGATAATAATATATAAAGCTTATATATAATACAATATAATACATAGTTTTAATTTATTTCAGACATTTGGATGGTTCTTATTCTTTAGAGCACTTGTTGGTATAGGAGAAGCCAGTTATTCCACAATTGCACCAACAATAATTAGTGATTTATTTGTGAAAGATGTACGTTCTAAAATGCTTGCCCTATTTTATTTCGCTATCCCAGTTGGAAGGTATATTTATTATATGCAATTACAGAGTACATATGTTATAAAATTATGATGTATATTTATATGTATACATAATTTTTTTATTCTAGTGGCCTGGGATATATCATAGGAGGTGAAACAGCTCGTATTGCTGGCAACTGGCAATGGGGGTTACGCATTACTCCTGTGTTAGGTATTATAGCGATTATATTGTTAATCACTGTGGTCAGAGATCCTATTAGAGGTGAGGTAGAAGGTGGTGTTCATTTAACAACTACTACGTGGTCATATGATATCAAGCAATTATTGAAAAAGTAATTAGCTGTATACATTTTCATCATTAGAGAACTATAATTAATTATTATTGGTCTTTTTATAAATTTAATTCTTTTTTATTAAAAAGCAATTATTTATATTGCATCAGTTGCTTTATCTATTATTCTATCATTTGTTCAAATAAAATAGAATTAATTTTTTATAATTTATATAAGTAAATAATTAATAAATTTATTATATTTATATTTAATATATATTTTCAGTCCAAGCTTTATGCTGTCTACTGCAGGATTTACTTGTGTGGCATTTGTAACTGGTGCTCTAGCATGGTGGGCGCCAACATATCTACAATACGGTTTTAAATTACTTCCTTATGGAGTAGCTGTCGATCCAGACGAGTACGTTTTTTTAACATTCGTTATAATAATGCATCTATAAAAGATTGATAACAAGAGAATATCTATATATTTTAAAAATATTATATAAATGCATCTTAATGTTTCAGTGTCGCATATAAGTTTGGATTAATTGGTATGGCATCTGGTCTAATAGGTGTACCATTAGGTTCTACCATAGCACAAAAATTACGAGTCTATTGGCAACAAGCTGATCCTCTAATATGCGCCATAGGTCTTCTAATAAGCGCTCCTTTATTATTCTTTGCTATGATTACTGCCAATACAAACTCTACTCTCTGTTATATATTAATATTCTTTGGTCAATTATCATTAAATTTGAATTGGTCTATTGTAGCAGATATGTTATTGGTAAGAAAAAGAACTTAACTGAAAAAAGATAATTATTTAAAAAATTTTTCTATCATTATTTATATTTTAATTTATAATTTAATAATTCTCTTATTATATATTGTAGTATGTAGTAATTCCTACAAGGAGATCTACAGCAGAGGCATTCCAAATACTTATCGCACATGCTCTTGGAGATGCAGGCAGTCCTTATCTTATTGGACTGGTATGTAGACATAATTTCATTACTAATTAAACAATTAGATTTATTAATAATTAATATAATTTAATTTTAGATATCGGAAGGATTAAAGTCCAGTCTCTTACCAGATTTAGCTGTAGGAGGACAATCTGCTGTTCATGACGATCAAAACATCATCGAATTTCGTAGCCTACAATATGCAATGTTTCTTACAATGTTTGTAGAAGTAATTGGTGCTCTCTTTTTCTTCCTGACAGCACTACACATACAAAAAGATAAAGCATTGGTCGATCTTGCTATTGCAGGTAAGTAAAAGACTATGACTCAACACTAGTTAGAACAAAATTTATATTTAAATAACGCACTTTGTTTTGCACGTTCACATTGAAATCATTACTAATATAGCTTGATATATGTTTGACATACACATACATTATTAAGAATAATGTAAATGTCACTCTAAAACTGTTCTTTATATGCAAAATACACTTTGTTTTACATGCAAAACACACTTTGTTTTATATGCAAAACACATTTTGTTTTACATGCAAAACACACGCACAAGTGTAATTTTTCCAAGATTTAATCATTTTTTAAAAATATTTAATACTAACCTGTAAACACATAATCATTATTATTAAATAAAGTATTGGAACAGTATTCACGCATACGATTCACAATATAATTCAGTAAGTGCAATATTCACAGATATATATGTAATTGAAATATCGAAATCGAAAAATTTTTTTTAAGATGTATTACTTGTTGACGTCATTATCACATATAATGATGCTGTATTAATAAATTAACATGTTCACATACATATATAATAAATACATATACATAATGTATATTACCCCTATATATAGTATATTCTGGTTGGAATGTGAAATAAAAATTTGCAATTCTACTAAAACATTCTATTTTTATACAGTACATGAATTGTTCTCAACTTTGGACTTACAAGCACAAGTTTTGGGATCAAAAAGAAGGTAGTATGCAAATTGTGATATCATTTAACACGTTAAGCGCCAAAAATTTTTATTTATTATATATTAAAATTATGCAATATATATATATATATATATATAATTAGATTTTGAAAAAATACATTTCGAAAATATTTATATATATATAAAAATGAAATATATTTTATATATAAAATATATACAAAGTATATGTATATATGTGAAGTAATTTATAAAATTACAAGGATAATTAAAAGAATATTTTTATTCATTCATATATTTTATTTTCATTTTATTATATTTATATTTATTAATTAACAGAATTAACAAATATTGAGTTACTTAATATTATTAGAAAAACTTTAAATGTATTTATATTAAATGTTATAGATATTTTTGTATTAGATTTAATTTTTCTAGAAACAATAAGAAACTTTTGAACATGACTCTTTGCATTTTTTTATCATTCTTTTTTTAATTTTCTATAAATTTGATCGTGGCGCTTAACTTGTTAAAATTTAAGATTTTTCATATTAATTTTTTTACTATTATGATCAATTGTATTTTACAAGCAATCATTATCAATTTTGAGATTATCTATTACATACAATTTTAAATCTTTATTTTATATTCCACCAACATTTTTAAACTGGAGTAACACATTTATATATTCATATATTTTAAATTCATTTTAATATTAAAAATATGTAATATTTATCAAGATGATTTGATTATTTTATCATGAATATTTGCCATAAATACTTATTTATATTTACGATATCGTCCTATTAAAAAATGGTGCTTAACGTGTTAAGGAATGCAAATTAAAAATATTTAATTATTAATAATAATCTTAGCAAATAATATAATTAAATTTGTATGTGTGCGCGCATATGATATTTCTCTGATATTGTTTATAATCCTTTCCATTTTTTCTATCATTATTTTCACATGCATTTTTTAATATATGGTTCTATACATAAATCATTGCACTTAATCATATTTATAATAAAAATGATTATATTACAATTGTTTTATTACAGAACTAGTAATTATATTTTTTTATTATTTTGGATTTATTTTTATAATTTTTATATAAATTTATATTTATGTGAATAATTAAGATATTCCACATATATTTTTTATAAAGTTTTAAAGTCTTTTATCTATCCATTTTTTTTCAATTTAAAATATACAAGAATATATCTAATATATATAAAAATAAATTTTATTATATTTATAAAAATACAATTTATATAAAATTTTTTATTCGAAATTTGAAAGTATATGTTGAATTTTGTAATTTTTATATTATATTTTTCACAATATAAGTTGCAATTTATATTTTAATATTTTAATAAGTTTAATAATTATTAAATATATAGCGAATAATTGATGAAAAAAGAAAGATTTACTATTTTCGTTGATTTATATATGTCATACATTTTGTTATTAAATCAATGAAACATTTTTCAGAAATGGGCTTTATTTAATGTAGGCAGTACATGGTCTAGTATGGAATGTGCATGTAATTATTTTTATATAACATGCAAACATCTTTCTTGCAGACAAATTTCTAGATACTAAGAATAATGGGCAAGCTGAATCAACGCATTTATAGATCATCACTGGGCCTCACCTGATAGTGTGCTGTGTATCTGGTATATAATTTATTTTCATGATTTCATTATTCTTTTTTTATTTTAATTATTCTTTTTTAATTTGGTAATCAATTTAATCGAATCTGGCTCTCTGTATAAATGAAATAACTTTCTATATCTAATCTATATCTTTCTATATCTATTCTTTATTATATTTGTATACATATAAATAGTTACGTTTATGAAAACATTTCAAAAGGACTTGATATTTAAAAAAAGAATGTTTATATTTTTTATTAAATCATAAATTTATATTCTATAAAGAGATACCGTCACAGTACATGAAAAGTGATGCTTAATATATATGATATAATACACATATAGTATTTTATCATATGCAATTACTAATATATACATATATATGTATGTATGTATGTAAGTGTGTGTATGTATACACATACACACACATATATATATTCAATTGTTAAATCTTCACGAACGCGAAGAGAATTTAATTTATTTAAAAAAAACATTGATTCTATAATAAAATTTGCAATTTATTTAATTAAATAATTAAATTGATTATCAATTATATCACTTCATTATTTTTATTGGTTTACATTTTACAAGGTTTAGAGTTTATAAATCTTATTTTTAGTTTAATTCTTTCGATATTATTTTTTCATGAATAATATAAAATTGAAGGAATTATTTCTAAAAAATATTTTCTTTTTTGTGATTTATTTCACAAGGTAAGGATGCATGAGGATGGTTTTAAATTTAGAAATATAAAGCTTTTTTCTCTACTTACAATATTTTAGTTTTATATTTTGCCCATGGATGTCATAAATGAGGAAAATAATACATTAAGCAATTTTAAAATTGGCTATATTCAAATACTTTCAAGAATTGCAAGAAAAATAATTATATAATAAAGATTATATTATTTTTCAATAAACAATTTTCAATAAATAATTTTATAATAAATAGAGAATAGGCTTGATATTCCTATTCAGACTTGATATTTTTCTATTATTCAGATTGATATTAACATCAAGATTAACATTAAAGTTGGTTCACTTTTACAAATATATATATTATAAAGAAAAAATATATATATTATGAGTGAAAAAATTATATTAAAACAATTGTGACTAAATTTAATATATTGAAGTGATATGGTATCATCCTTTGAACTGATGAAGCTTGCCTACAGATTTCTGTATGTAACATGACTAGGCTTTATGTTGTGAATGTATGTGTGGATACGGTATAATAATGCATGTATATTTTTAAACAATTAGATATATTGCGATCAACATAAAAAACATACAATGGTGAGTGCAATATAATTAGATTATTTGTTCTTTTAGATAAATAGTTATATATAATTTTATCTACATATTTGTATTTTTGTATGGTTCTGCTTTAGAAAATTAACAGTAAATAAATACATCTATATTGATAAAAAAATTGAGTAAATGGAATTTCAAAATACATTCTTCATAATTTCTATTTAATGTTGTATAAGATTATTGTCACTATAATATTTTTATCACAACAAATAAATTTTAACATTCTTAAAATTGTAATAAATATTTTGAAAAGCTCTTAGGATACTATTTATATATGTCTTTTTATTAATGAATATATAGTTGTTGCATGTGTGTGTTTTATTTTATAATATACTCCATGAAATTTTATACATGTATGCTTGCAGAAACAAAAAATTTGTTCCATGTTCAATGTTAAATGTTCTATATTTAATGTGCTTTTTGAATGTTACTTGTTGATTGGGGAATGTTATAATTGGAACATTGGAACATTGTAATTGGAATAAAGTATTCCATATAGAAATCAATTAATTAAGATATTATAGGACAAATTTTTCTAAGAATAATGAGATTTTAACAATACTATATGTAGTTAAATATTTGTAAATATATTTATTATATAATAAATATAAATTAATATATAAATATAAATTAATATAAATTATATAATTTATATTTTTATATACACATTAATATACTATTTACACCTGTCGAGGTTTTGTATGACTCGATTTATATAATAATGTATAAAAGATATTCAAATAGCTTTTTTATATTATTTTCAGGTGGAAGTATTTCAGACTCAGTGTGTATTTGCAACGATGCAGTTGATAGTGAATTACAAAATGATAGAAATACAATATTAGAATATAATAGGCATTACGAGGAACCCGCGTCACACATATAGATATTATATAGAACTTTAATACTTTAGATAAGTTATAATTATTACGAGTGTACAGTATATAGTTCTATCAAACATCAGATTGATTTGATTTTATAAAACAAGATGTGTCATATATTGACATAAAAATATGTTCTGTATACAGAACGTATTTATGAAGAAAATTTGCATATAATCATAAGAGAGAGTATCCTCAGAGAGGTATTTGTAAGTTACCACTGTTAATAGTGTACAAATATCCGATTCACAATGAAACTCTTAGGATGTAGATGGAACACCGCCTTTATAAATTGTACAATATTTTTAAATATTATATTTTTATAATCATTGCAAATTCACATATATGTAGTATATTATTGAAATCATCACATAATAAATGCAAATTGTAGGAACAATAACACAATGAATAATAAAACTGTATTAGTAAACAATTTGGGTATAAGATGCACAAGTATTTTCAGACTAAATTATTAGTAACATTAACAACATTGCGTTGGTATTAAATTATGAAAGTACTAATAATTGCGTGATTGTTTATTAAAAAAAAACATTGTAATCGACTATGCTCTATAAAATTATACATATATTACTATTAAATTTATCAATTTAACTAAGCTAGAGATAAATATAGATAGATTTCGATAATTATAACTATGAATATGACTGTATTTTGATTGTATTTTTTTTAGAAACGTTACAAACGTTATTTTTTAACTTTCTTTTGGGAAACAATACATCATAATTGCATAACATGCAATGAATTAAATTTAAAAAATCATTTATAATTATAGATTATCTGTTATAGATTATCTCAGAATTAATGTTCTCTTTTTCTTTTTATGACATAAAAACATTAAATAGATACAAATTTTGCATAATAGATTCTTTTACAATATTTATCATTATATGCATTAATTCTCTTGCTTTTAATATTTATAATATATATATATTTTTTCTGTATAGTGCTTACTCGAAATATTTATAACGCAAACAAAAATTTAATATTCTGTTATATGACATGTACTTTATAGAAAAATATTAAAAATTGAAGAGATCTCTATCTATAAAATATATCTCTTTTGTATTTCTTTATATAATTAAATCTTTATATTTGTACACTTATATAGAAAATAAATCAACAAAATTATTAATCAAATTGACCAATCAGTGAGTTATTAACTAAATTAATTAGTTTCAAGATAAAAAATTATAAAATCCTTTATTACAAAATAAATGCAGCTATGAAACTACAATTATATTGTATGAACTTTTATTTAAATCTGTATTTGACAACATTCAGTTAAGTAAAATGCACAAACAACATAACAAATGTATTTGCCCAATGCATTAATACAATATGTATAAAAATTAGTATAGTACTTATATGTATAAAATGATAAGTAGAAATTACAGATTATAAAATTACATTTAATTGTTTAATTATAATTATAAGAAAGAAATAATTATAAGAAAGAATTTAATTATATTATGTAAATTACATTATGCAAATAAATCTGTTTGTACATACCCACAGTAATATGTTTCTTTTATGATCTCTTTTTATTGGTCATTTTTTTTGTTAAAATCATGATTTTATGGGATAAAAATTTTCTAGTAAATTTCCTTTAATTTAATTTTTTGCAGATTTTTTTTATAAAAACATATTTTCCATGTTTATTTGCGAATGTTTATTGGCCACATGAATATTTTTATCTTAATTCTGAATATTATATTAAATACTTTCCTTAGATCACTTTATATATGCACAAAATATGCCACAGCATATAAAACACAAAATATAACACACATACAGATCGCGATGCGCCACAAACGGAAACTGGTATTTTTAATGGGCAGTCGAAGACAGGCTGAATAGAGTGAGTTATCGGAGAGGGAAGCGACACTCGGTTTCTTTGATCAATAATGAAACTTCTCTTTGCTTTCCTGTCACTGTTTCTCCCCGTTTTCCTCCTCTCTTTCTTTCTCACATTGTGCCTTTTTTTCCACGGGGGTCTGTCGCTTGATCCCCCTGCACACTCTTACGCGGTCTCTTGTTCACCCCTTTCCATCTCCATCTTGCCGCTCTGTCTTATCTTATACATTTTTAACCCTTACTTCAGCCCCCGCATAGACGAGGAGAAAAGCTCAAAGCGAGAGCCAAGTTTTAACAACCCTTAAGGTGTACCCCCAAGGCTGGTCTTCTTTCTTCTAGATAATCCACTCGGCGATCCGTTCGCGCGTGAGCTTCTATGCAAAAAGACTTTGGTATCCTTCAAAGAACAGCTTCGAATCCACGAAGAATTTGGATCTTCCGTAAAAGAGTTTCTTCGAAGTCAATAAGATTTCATTTGATGCGAAATACATCGAAAAGGAGAATAAATTAAATTAGAATTAATTTGATCGAAGGAATGTTATTTGACATTTGTATATATAAAGTCATTCATATTTCATATTAACAAGCATGATTTCATTTTTTATTAATTTATTTAATTGAAATGTAATCTCTTGAAACTCTTCATCTTTTTACATCTCCGTTGTATTTTTGTAACCATTTTAATTTTAAAATTTAATGAGATAAAAATAAAAAACACTATATGTATAGGTGTTTAAGAGTTACTTTTATATGTTTTGATATTTCTTTTGATGTTCTCTTGTCGCAAAAATTTCTATTTATAAGTACTGTAATTTTCTTATTTATAAGTATAATCAATAGAATTTTTGCAAACAGTTTTATGTGTTATATGTACTAACACTTAAATTTAATGGAATATTGACAAATTTATCAATTAATATTTTACAAAAGATAGACGAAAGAAAGCGCTAATACAATAAATTAATAGAGATATGTTAAATAAAATCAATAATAAAATCTCAAATATATTAATATAGAAAATAAAATAGCTAATATATTTATAACTATATATATATATATATATATATTTTTTTTTTTTTTTAATTCTCCATTTCTTAAATATTTATGATAAGAGAAACTATCAAACAAGATAAACTTTTTATCATTCCATATTATAAATTATAAGTTATAATTTATAATATGGAACGATAAAAAGTGCAAAAATTCTATTGATTATACTTATAAATAAGAAAATTACAGTACTAATAGATAAAATTAAGAGTAGATAAAATTAATATATATTAAAATAAAAATATATCATAGTACATTAATGTAAAAAATAAAGTATCAATATGTTTGTATATTGATACTTTATTTTTTATATTAATGTACTTATGATATACATATTTCCATTTTAATATGTATTGAAGTTTTATTTTATCTATCTCTTATAAATAAAAATAAATAAATATATATATATATTTTTTTTTTTTTTTTTTTTTACTACTTTATTCAAAGGCTTATGACGAAGCGAGGCTATCGAACAGGATCGACTTTTCGTCGTCCTTTCGCAGTATTTCCGAACATCCCTGTGTCCAATAACGGGGACAGTGGAATATAAAGCAACGTTGAGAGGAAGCACATCGGGGTGAAGCTGGTACAAAGAAAAGCGCGGAGCGTGGGATGAGGAGAGACCGTCGCGGTGTGGGATAATGCTTAACAAGCCGACTTGAAAGGACGTCCGCCATTTTGAGTCAATACTTGAAAGTCTTTGCTCATTAAGAATATTTTACGTCTACCTTCTGCGCGCTACGCGAACGTTGCCGCTGCCCCCCTATAACTCGACGCCATCTCCGTTCTTTCTTCCCACCCCCGCGTTCGGACTTTTTTTTCCTCTCGTTCTATCTTACTCCCTTGGCTTCAAGAGTTGTTCCTTGCTTCTCTTCCTCCTCATCCTCCTTCTTTTTCTCATATTCCTCCTTCGTTTCCACAGAAGCGGGTGCACCCTCGAAGATGGAAGTTATTTACGCGGCACTCGGAGCACGCTCCACCGTCGCGACCCCGTAGCCAACCCTCACCCCCGGCGTTTCGATCTGGTCTCCCCTTTGCCACGCTAACACGGTGCCCCCGCCTCATCGCCCTCGTCCTCGCCCTCATCGGGCACGCAGCATTTACTGGGAGGGTGGCCAACGCCAACCCCGCGTCCTCGTTCTCTCGATGAGGGATGGAGAAATCTCCGACTTTGCCATGGGGCCCACCTTCATGCGCCCTTCCAGCGGCGACGAGTAAACAGCGTCCCATCTCGCGGCGTTTTTCCTAATTCCTACCCAATTTCGCTTTTAGCATTTCAATTTCTATCTCCTCCGCTCACCCCTTCCTCCGATTTTCTCCTGCTCATCGCGTCGGGATGACGGATTATCGTTGGACGAGTGAGAAAAGAATTCCGTGGGTGAAATAGATGAACGAGAATGATAGATAGGTGTATGCGATGGATTTATCACGAAAAAATAGGTCTATCGCTATCTATCAATAAGCCTCTTAGGTCATATGTGGATAGCAATATTACTTGTTTTATTGAGAATATAATGTATGTTCTTGAATATATCTTGGATATACAAGGGATCTATGCTATTTCTTGTAAAATTATTGAAAAAATCGTGAAATAATTATGACAAGGCGAATAAATGTAAAATAGATAAATTCTTTTACAGAGTACAAATATAGCATAAAAGTTCATTATAAATTGCTTATAATGTAAGGAATGCATCAATACTTTGTACATAGAACAAATCGGGGAGAAAATGGTATATAATATATCTGCATTTATATATATATATCTGCAGCACAATTTCTATATAAATAAATAAATAAATAAATATATATATATATATATATATATATATATATATAAATTAATATTTTAATACTATTTTAATTTTATTTATATTATATATAAATAAATTAATATTTTAATAATATTTTAACTTGTATAATAGATCATTATTTTATCAAGATCGCCATTGCAATAGTATTAAAATTTATTTATTCTTGAGATATATATATATGTGTGTGTGTGTGTGTGTGTGTGTGTGTAATATGTAATAAAAAATCATCATACTATTACACATATATACTTCATTGTGCTCCATATTCATACGTGTCACCTAATTCACCATGTCCAGGATGAAATAATTTTCCCATCACAAAACGCTTCCGCGCTAGTTACGGGCAATGATTCATATTATGAATCCGTGCCTTGCATTTTTAAATCGTCACGAGGTTTTTTTCGATTTCGTTTCCCCGCGCCGGAAAAACAATGGACCGCGATGTTCCCGCGCGTGAAGACGGGGTTAGAGTGGAGAAACGGGGCGGGCGGAGGCAAAGGGGTGACTGCAAAAATAAATCAGGCGCGTACCGACACGGCGACGTTTCTCGTTCAATTGTATCAACTTTAACCCCTTCATTGTCTCATTTTTTTCTCGGCTATCGTTCTGCTGCTCTCGCGCCGTTTGACCGGATCCATTCGACCCTCTTCGCTTCTTTCTCCGCAACGCTCGCAGCGAATCGGGTTCGAAGTCTAGCCCGTGCGAACAATCGGCGTGCACAAATGGAACGCTCGAAAGCGCATATAATAAGCCGTAAAGAGACAGAGCGAGAGAGGGAGAGAGAAGCAAAGAGGAAGGCAGAATGAAACAAA